TCCAATTGTCGAAGACCAATTCTAACCCAGATTGTTTCTTCTGTAAACAATCCCTCTTGGTGTTCCTAGCTCATATTTTGATCTTAAAAATTACCTTCTGCTGGAACCATTTCATGGACTCTTCCTTGCCGATCTTGTGACTGGTCCCAACACGGCCACGCTTCCTTCTTCTCTGGGCGACATTGAAGCCTGTAACCATAGGTACACAGGTCAAACATCTTTTACACACGCACACAATCATATGCACAGGCACGGACCATGAACACAAACATAGCCGTCTTACTGAATATAAAAAAATGGTAACCATTTTATTGCTTTCTTAAAGCGAGTACTTAGTATGATATATCAGTCATAAAACAGCATGTCATTTTAAAGCATGGAGAATTGGACATCCATGACTACTAGGGCTGTTACGATTCACTTGTGTATTCAGTTAATCGAACCATGTCCCTTCACGAATTAAATTTGTTATTCATGGACACATGAATCAAATATTTACAAAAGAAACAAAATGTCCCAAAATTTATTTTGTTATTGTTTCACTGAACATAATAAATAATACATCAACTGATGACCTGTTACTGTATACATGAATAAATATTCATATTCGTTACCATATATTCATGATATGTATCGTATTCGCCTCATAGCACATTCGTTGCTAATGTCTACTATCTTGACCTGCAGAATTATCTCAAACTCAATTGAAGTGCAATGAATCCAGTCAAGATGCACATTCCAAAATAATTTTCTAAGGAGCAGAATAGACACAGGGATATGGCGACTTCCCAACACGAACGTACCTGGTCTGCCAAGGACGATGTAGAAGTCCATGCCATAGATGCCGATGTTGGGATCGTATTTGATTCCCAAATCAATGTGTTCCTGGATGCCGAAGCCGAAGTTGCCGGTGTCAGAAAAGTTGCATCTTCTCAACTCGTATTCTCTGACCTGTAATGAAGGTGCAAAAACAATTCAATGAAATACGTTGTGTAGGGATAGAGATGAAGTACATGTTAGAAATGTATGTAGCTCACCTGACTAGCAAGACTTCACCAGGTTATACACATATCCAATCCAAAAAAGTACCAATTTGTGTACTTAAGGGTGTGGATTTGGGGGCATTATGAAATAGCACATCATTATTTATTAGATGTACCTGACTAAGCTCCATAGCCATTTGAGGCTAATGTTTCTATTTTTCTTGGCCTTTTTAGACTCATGAATTGTATTTCCCTTTTCACTAAGCATTTGCTGCAACAAATTTTCACCAGTTTTTAACACACACATTATTGTGGTTGATTGCTGTCCACTGCTCTAAAACCTTTTTCAAACGTGTACAGTACAAGAATATGCCTCAAGACGAAGACTTTTTCCTTCCAGTGAGAACTAAATGCAGAAGTATGTATGTTGCTAAACGCCACACTCAAATGGCATCACATCATATATTAAACATAAAAAACAAGCACTACACATGAAGGTTTCAGCAACTTTCATAAATCATCAATCAAGTAAACATATTTTAACTTTTTTGTTTGTTTAGCCTCTACCCTCATAAAAAGGTGCATGTTTTAAAATGTTAGGGGCCTGATATTCAGGTATGAACATTTCCACTTGTTAGTGTCAATGGTGAAGGAACTAATTATAGCTTACAACTGTGTCTCACCATATATGTATCAAAACAGAACAATCTGTCTAGAGTTGCAGAGGTGAATTTAGTTTTGCACAAATTTAAAAGTCAGGCAGCAGTGAGTATCACTACAACCCGTGCCTTCGTGCTGTGTTTATCAAGAATTTGCCTCAAAGATAATGAAGATTTAATGCCCGGCTCAGCAATATTCCAGCTATATAAAAAATCGTGTCTGGACCGGACTGGACACTCCAGTGATTAACATCATGAGCATTGATATATGCAATTGGGTAAAGTTGGCATGCTTCAACCAAGTTAGCGAGCCTGACCAACTGATCCCATTATTCGTTTCTAGAGCAGAATGGCTTTCATTAGACCAATTCTTATCCAGATTTTCATAGGGCTTTATTGTTTAACGCCACACTCAGCAATATTCCTGCTATATGAAGGCATTTTGTAAATAATCGAGTCTGGACCAGACAATCCAGTGATTGACATGATGAGCATCAATCTTCACAATTGGGATGCATCATCCAAATCAGTGAACCTGATCACCTGTTCCCGTTAGTCGCCTCTTATGACAAGCATGTGTTACTGAAGACCTATTCTAACAGATCTTCACAGGGCTTTAAGTATTCAGAGCACAAAATTCAACACCAACAGATTTTTTTCAGTCTTTTAGGTTCCAGATCATTAGGTTTTCTGTCACAACTTTCGTCAATGTTGAAAGCACTTATTACAGGTTTGCGTGTGTGTCACGGTCCTTGAGGTTTGGGGCGAAAGTTTAGTTAATTAAGGGGCAAACTTTTCAGTACTACACACTTTAAAGTCAGAATCAGTATTTCGACAGAATATGGTCTGGTAGATTTTAACCATAAATTTATGGTAAAAAACTGTTCATGAAATTCGCTTAACAAACTGTCCATGGCATTCATTGGAGACTAATCTGTCTCACCATGTATCAAAATAGACAGCAAAATCTGCAGAGGTGAAGTAAGTTTCACACAAATAATAAAGTCAGGCATTAATATCACTACAACACCATATCATTGGAAAATAGCAAATCTATTTCCCCATCCTATTCCGACACTTACCCTCTGTAACTAGATATATTCAATATTAGAATACTGTTAGAAATCCCATAAGTCCTTTGACTTGTACTATTTGATACAGCTCATTTTGGGGGGGACAGCAACTGATCCTTACAAGTTTTCCATTATCTGTCATGCAGACTAATGAGGATTGTGTATCACAAATACCTTGAGCCCCTTCTCCAGGATCTCCTCAGCCTTGGCACCTCGGACAGTGCAATGGACAGCGATTCTTTCATTTCTTCTGATACCAAAAGATCTCACAGTGTAGCGGGCTGGAAGTCAACAAATCTATGTAAGCAACATAAACATAATGCCCATTGGCAGGAGCATCTTCCCTTCCCATGAGAAATATTAGTTTTTCACTTCACCTACTATGAGGAACAACCCTCATTAACAAGTGGACACAGAAAAATATCATCCAACGCAAATGTGAATCATTTTTGTTGGAAACGTTGTCAATGTCGCCCTATTGTCACCATAGACAAAGAATGATCCTCAAAGTCATAAATGCTGATATTCACAGAACAGTGTTTAAAGAAATGGTTGTAAACACTGAAATTAATTCACTGCTGGCTCAAAATTGAATATATACCAAGTCATAAATTGCCTAAAAGATAAACTGACAAGGATATGAAACATTTGTATTTTATCCAGTAGTTTGGCTCATTTTGTGTTCACATACATACCTTTAGAGAAAACTGGCTGTTGTCCGGTAAGTTGTTCCAACACTTTGGCTGCTCTGGTCAGTCTGTCACCAGATTCGCCCACACAGATATTGAGACAAAGTTTGCGAATGCGAAGCTCTCGCATAACATTGTTTTTCTTCTTTTCGTCTACCTTGCTCTTGGGCTTTGCCTTGGCCTCTTTCTACAATAATTTAAGTATAAAGCAATAATTATTAGGGCTGGGATGATACACCAACTGTGCAATCCGATACGTATCATGATACCTTGTTTATGATCCAAAATGTATCACAATTTTGCATGTGCTCTTATCTGTGGTGTGTAAGCTGTGTTTTCCATACACAGGATGTCCAAATACCTGGCTAACTGATGATTTACAGTTTGCTACTGTGTTCGGTACTTGTATCGAGAAGTAAAACAAAATAAAACGCTATCCCACTACTTAGATCTATGAGTTATAATTATGAAATGGTGATTTAGAGATTTTGCCTTACACTTTCAGGAATTCACAAAGAACACTATGTTAGGGCACATATTTTGATTAAATTGCAGGTGGTCAGATTTATGTGGAAGAATTGCCTGACCGATGCATGTTACAGACTTTTACACTTCTGGTAAACCCCACCAGTATCCTCGAGCAGTATAATGTTTATAATCAGGACCTTAGTGCAATTTGTATTTGAACTAAATTGCAATGATTTGATTACCATCTCGATACCACTAGGAGATTCAACACTGAATTGTAACACCAAACAATCTAGCCATTCCCCAAACAACACGAAGAGCTTAAATTAGTTTTCAAACTTGCACACTCGCCTTCGTGGAGATTCACGAAACGTGCCCATGATTTGCTCTACATGGAATAGTTCTGTCATTGGTCAAGGGTGACCAAGCCTCCGTTAATGTATCAGAATGTTAGAATTTGCTAGTGTTGGATGTGTATTGATTTACGAAAGGTCCAAAGCATATCCATATTATCCAGCTGCGATCACCTATGTACTGTATCTTCTTGTAATACACGTCTATCATATGTCAACCCCAAGTTTACAAAGTTCTCTAAAGTGTTTTCACTCCCGATTGGGTGCATATTAATTGCCTCACATGAGTGTTCCACAATAGACATATACCTCATCACTTTTATCATATCATGCATCTTCCTCGCCAATTTTCACGTGCACATTATTCCTCAACATCAACATATCTAACCAACGCACAGGATAATCCCTTTTTTCAAACGGTTGTTACATGTAAAACAACGATAAGGATTTTATTCATAATGCATATTTTATGTCCACTAACAATCCCCTTTCATCTGATTCATTTGATTAAACTTTCTAAGTGACAGCAAGCAACGATGTAAACCGATTTGTGAAAGCCATCAACAAATGCAGTACTGACCGCCATGATGTGTTGTTAGGAAAAGGAAGTTGTCAGTGCATGCCGGAAGAAAAACATTTTTCGGATATTTCTTAATCTTTCCACCAATAACAATAATTAATAAATATGTAAAAATATATACATATATCAACAATAAATTATCCCTGAAATTAGATTTTTCAACGAAAATCCTATAGTCTCGCGTTACCGTTAAAGTTTGTCACGTGACCTATGGCAGCTTCCCTCGCGACGAATGAATACAAACACATTCTCATACACAGTCAGTAATTAGACTTCACAGTCGAAAACGTAGCGGCAAAATGAGCTCTAGTGGCGAAGAAGAAGAAAACAACAAAAATGACCCAGAGGCTCGCATTGCAGCCCGTAGATTACGGATTCAAAGACGAATCGAGGCAGCCAAACGGTACGTCACCCTTATGTAGAATCACAAGCCCCAGCTTGAAGCCTGTCATAATCTATCATGTTTAAAGTAAAACAGTGGGCTTTTCGGGGTTGGTCTTTAATTTTATTAAAAATATGTAGACCATGTACCATGAAGCCCCTCCCCCCTTTATGAGACTATTATCTATTTTTAAGATAACATTCGATCTAGCCAATTTTGTGTGACATTTTGATATTTTCATAATTTTATCATATTTGATAGGAGATTCCAAATTTGAAGAAAGACCTTAAGGACATTTTCAATGACGATCAGTTAATGTCCCAGTAAAAGAAACAATCTAAAACCCTGCAATTATTGAACACTTGCAAATAATAATATTCCCAACAGTATCAAATGAAGATCTCAAACAAAGGATAAGAAATGGGGGATCATTAGCAGTGTTAGGGTAAAGAAACAGAAGTGAATCATTTAACAAATAAATTGTTTTAGCTAGCATTAAATGAGTGATTTTGATAAACAGGATAATTTTTCTTTTGCAGTACTGATCATGCTGATTCGTCCTGTGAACATCTGAACACCAATGTATACCGATGATTGATCTGTATTTTGGCAAAATTGGGGAAAATGACTCACATTTTCAAGCATCTGCCCCAATAATGGCTACATATTTGATATGCTAAGTATTGAAAAATGAGTAATTCCGATCACCATGATCGCCCACAGGATGCCTTTAACATGGATAGGACTACTGTTGGCAAATACCTTTTTTGGATTACTTTCCCAGCTGCTACTGATGATGTTTGAATATACTTTATTTGATTTGATCCAGTGACGCTTTGTCATGTTTCTTGCTATACAACTATGTAAATGTCATCTGTGATTGACAGGGCGGCGATGGGTGAAGACCCGAATGAAAATAAGGAAGTGATGGAAGAACTGAGCAAGAGCAGGAAGCAGATTGAAGATAGTCGGCTACGTTTGACCAAGCTGGACAAGGATGGATATGAACTGGTCACTAATATCCGAGTTGCAGGAGATGCTCGGGAGGCAATGCGGAGGACAGATGAAGAAGAAGCCAAACGACTAAGGTAGTGTAGACTTGTAAATGTTACTGTCATATTTTTATAAAGAGTGTCATTATTTTTTTTTTTTTTTTCTGTTAAAAAATGATGTTGTATGAATAAAATAATTTCTTTTTTTGTCCACATCTAAGGATTATCTGTAATGATTCTAGTGTCTTCAGTGTGGAAATAACTAACAGTATAATATGAGGTCAGCAAAGATAGTCTATAACATCATCATGTATGTACTGTGACATCATTACATATTACAGCAATAACAACGTCGTGTTTGCATCAACAATGGTGTCTGCATTATGTCAATCATGCTTTAGTGGGGCAAATTAAATCATTGTTATATATATGATTCATATGAAACTTTATGTAACTTGCTTTGACATTCATGATATTTGTGCCTATTATGCTTGTATACTACCAGTTGTTGTGGATGTTTGATTTGTAGAAAAGAGAGGTTGGAACAAGAGGCCAAGTCAGGATCAGAGAGGTTTGAGGAGGTGAGAACAATGACTGGGAAGACAAAACAGACACCCCATGGGGATTCCTGAGGTCCCAAGTATCCCTAATGAGGATTGGGTGGTTACAATGTGTGACCTGGCTGATTTCCTTGGTTGTGTTGTATCTCCGCCTGGCTTTTTGCTCAGATTTGACTCAAACTCAACAAACACTTTGTATCAGTCAAAACGGTCTTTACTACACCATCGCTATAGAACAACTGTCCCTCAACTGCTATCACCTCCTACATCATCAATTTATCAAGTTTCGAATACTATACATCATCAACTTACCAAGTACGAATATTTACTCTAGAATAAATGATAGCTCGCGACAAATCCATGGATGTCGTTATGTTAGGTCATGTGACTTCTCTAGCTCTTTACACACAAAACCAACTCCATGCATCGCATGCAACTTACCACATATAACAGTTGCATGGATCCTAGCTCATGCCATGAGCTTTGGTTTGCCTAGCTCAGGCTTGACTATTTCCATCCCTTGTATGATAGCTGGAATAGTGCTGACTGCTGCAGAAAACTTCATTCACTCACTCCCAAATATTGAAAGAGGTGATGGTGATGAACATATAAACACTATTGACAGTACTAATAACTGCATTACAAAAATGATAAAAGTGAGTGAGTAAGTTTTTACGCCGCTTTTAGCAATATTCCAGCAATATCCCGGCAGGGGACACCAGAAAGGCTTCACATATTGTACCCATGTGGGGAATCAAACCTGGGTCTTCGGCATGACGACTGAACGCTTTAACCTCTAGGCTACCCGACCACCCCAAGATGTTAAAGGACAAATGTAGTGGAAACCTATAATTATCACTGATCATATGACATATGACTTTCCCTCACAGTAAAACCCCGACAGGAAACATTTTTGTGAATAGTGAAATTATGTTCCCTCTGGTTTGCCTGTCCTTGCAAGTTTGTTTAAAGGTCATGACCTGGAAATCAGTTGTATTACTTCTTTAGCAATGAGTTATTCAATACTGTTTTCATGACATATATTAAGAGAATAATCCTTCCTGTGTTTAATGGTAAAATGGCACCCTCACTTCTGTTCTGCAGCGGGGTGGTCGGGTAGCCTAGTGGTTAAAGCGTTAGCTCATCACAACAAAGACCCGGGTTCGATTCCCGACATGGGTACAATGTATGAAGCCCATTTGTGGTGTCCCCCGCCGTGATATTTCTGGTGATATTGCTGGAATATTGCTAAAAGCAGCATAAAACCCTACTCACTCTGTTCTGCAGCTATATTCTCCAAATCAATCACAATGTCAACTCTTATTTCAGATTACTAAGAAATGGGAGTCTGCCCTGCAGAAAGAAGTACCACAGTCACTGCATGAGGTTTGTTTGATGTTGCAATTCTATTTACTGATTCTGGGTTGTTTTGCTACCAAATAAGTTATTTATTTTTGTTTTAGACATATTACCCAAACCTGTACTTGCTTTGAGTGTGACTTTTAAGTTAAGATACCATTCTAACAAATGGAGGGAAGCCTGCACCTTTCCACCTCCTAATAAGGTATCCGATACATTTTTAAGCTGGGACTGATATATTGTTCACAATCTTGAAATTTGAAGAAAATCCTCAATGAATGTCGATTGTGTGAATATGCTCTACACTGTCAGCTATAACTAGGGTAGAAATATCCATTGTGTTCATGATTTCTGTAATTAGTGACTGTTTCTTGCAGATGTTGAAACTGCAGAAGACAGCATGTGACTCCATGATTGATGAGAAAAATAAACTTATCAATGACTTTCAACAGGTAAGAATGATAGACATGGTAGACCCTTATGTTGGTTTGAAGGCCCATAACAAGGGAGATAACTCTTTCAACCTCAACACAGTTGGATACATGTAGTTTCTATTTTCATATATTTGTTTGTTTTATGCATGATTATTCAATCATAATGTATGCTTTGGCACTCATTGTTAATGAATGAATCAGTAAGAGACTAATAAAATCAATTCCTGATTAGAGTGACAATATTTAACAAACCACCTACAGCTGTCACTAGTTAGTTTGTGTAAAGGGCTGTTTGTGATGCAAAATGTATATCAATTGTGAGTTCACAGTACACTACAATACAGTAGAACACGGATATAACGAACTACAAGGGACCAGAGAAATCAGTTTGTTATATCCGTTGTTCGTTATGCACGTTTTTGCTCGGAAACGTCCACCATCTTGGATAAGACAAAACATAGATTTTCCAATGAGAGACATAACATTTTACAGACAATATAACATGTACAGGTAAGATTAACACAATGCAAATTTAACAAGGTTGATCCGTCACCGCTGATTGTATTGATTCGCCGCCATTGTGTTGATTTGCCGCTGATTGCGTACAGCCAATTGTCAATGACACTTGACACTGAGTGAGATTTCCCAGTTCGCTATACACGTCACTAATTAGTGACAGATGGGTTTGTCGGTGATCAGATATCAGTTCGCTGTATCCGTTAGTTTGCTGTAGAGAGTTCGTTATATACGTAAATTTTATATGATATTATATAGGAGGTCAATCGGGTATTTTTTAACAGTTCGTTGTATCCGTTTGTTCGCTATATCCGTGTTCATTATATCCGTGTTCTACTGTATATCAATAATGAGGTCACAATATGATATACAATACAATACTTGGGGACTGGACACTTGTACAAACACATTGACTTTAATAAGAGTACTGAGTAGATCACTGATAGAATATGTTTCTTATCATAGATGTTATGCAGCACATATACCATGTATACAGCCTCAGAAATTTGATATTTATTTTCAAGACTAGTCAAATGTACTAGTGTAAACCTTATCTCACTTGTCCGCAGCATGTAGCGAGTCCTGCTCGAATGAGACCAAAATGTTAACTATGTTTATGTTTTCTGTCAGTTTTATTCATTTACAATTTATGGCAGAATTGAAACATGGAGAACAGGTTCAGAATTATAACTCCCACAGGCTGCCAGTTAATGAGGACAATTATCATTGAATTTTCAATTGTCCTCAGTACATTTTAGTAGTCTCTGGCTTGTGTGAATGTTTAAGCTGTGTACACTGCTGGGGAGTATCTTGCATACAGTGATGACACGATCAGTGGCACAAACGTGGTTCCAAATTGTGAATCCTATACCTGGATATTCGGCAGTGACGACCATCATCCTGCCAGTACTTGTGTAAACTGGTTTGCAGGAACTGAAGTACAAGGATGAACAGTATGTGAAGGACCTGAAGAAGATGGCGGAGGACATTGACCTGATGAAGGAGAGGATGGAGGAGCAGACTCGCAACCTGAAGAAGGCGTACCGAGAAGAACTTGAGGAGATCGAGGTAAAAGATCTGGTAGATGAGAAGATGGGGTCGATCATGACAGATTTGATCACCTTAGGAGATATTGCTTTGTATGATCTTTTCTTCCAACAATTTAAAGGCAAAGGCCTTAATCCCACAGCATGACCTAAGGGCAATGACTATCATAAGTTGATGCTTTCATCGCTTTGTGGAACAAGGCCCATGTTAGCCCCGCCAGATGTGGTACTGTCGAGCTTAGCTAATTGTCTACTCACCCTTGTGCAGTCATAGTTTTAATTTCAAGGCAATAACTTGAAGAAAATTTATTGATTGTCCTTCAGACTTGAAAGACAGAGTAAGTTTCATAGTTGCCCAAAGCATTTGGCATTTAGTAAGTCAAAGGTCACAGGGCAAGTGACTTGTGTGGTCATGTTTTCCTTTTTGTCGATGATGTATACAAGAAATAAATATGTTATTTATAACTTTGTTACCTCGACAATCCCTTATAAAAGACAGGTGAGATGAGCGAAACGGACAGCAGTGTCAATATTACCATGGTCTAGTGAATAAGTGAGTTGCGTTTAACACCTTTTTGAACAGTTATCCAGTTACATCATAGCGAGTCAGCTTATTGTGGGAGGAAAGCCTGAAATGATGCAGGTTCTAGACGTCTAGAGACATCATCCGGACAAACTGGGATTCGAACCCACGATCATATGTTTCTGGCGTATCCAAGAGATGGATTTCTACACAGCAAATTGCGGCACCTAAGACGACTGGGCACCCACCCTATGCCCATACCATGGTCAAAGGCCATATAACAATGAATGAAACAGGTTTAAATTGATTTCTGGATAATACTTTTGACAACAATTGTTGAATTTATTCAGAATCCTTTACATGTCAAGATTAAGGGTTTCCGACAACACAGGATGATAACTACAAAACATGCTACCAGTTTAGCCCAAATCCAAAATGAGTTTTGTCACTATGTGAAACCAATTCTTGTTGTCCTCCATGTTGATGCTGGTACAGGATCGCTTGCACTCACATGACCCAGGAGATATCACTTTTGCTAGTCATTGATGTTAGCAGCCCGAGAGATTTACCTCAGTAAAAACTAATAGCTTGTTATATATTGTTGTGTGTGTATTTCAGCGGGCTTTTGTGGCTGAACGGAACGAGCTCCTGGGGGATGAGCAGGGGCAGTGGGGGGAGCAGATGAATAAACGCAGCGACAAGGAAGAGGAGTACATGAAGGCCAGGGAGAACTCTGTGGAAGACTATGAGCAGCAGCTGCAGCATCTACGTGTACATGATGCAGAAGAGTACAACATTGTCAAGATCAGGCTGGAGACAGATGTACAGGTAGGTCACAGACATGTAGCTCCACTGGTCCATGTACAGGTAGGGTCATACATGTAGCTCAGGTGTTCCATGTTCAGGTAGGGTCACACACATGTAGCTCAGGTGGTCCATACACAGGTAAGGTCACACACATGTAGCTCAGGTGATCCATGTACAGGTAGGGTCACACACATGTAGCTCCACTGGTCCATGTACAGGTAGGGTCACACACATGTAGCTCAGGTGTTCCATGTTCAGGTAGGGTCACATATATGTAGCTCAGGTGATCCATATACAGGTAGGGTCATACATGTAGCTCAGGTGGTCCATGTTCAGGTAGGGTCACACACATATAGCTCAGATGATCCATATACAGGTAGGGTCATACATGTAGCTCAGGTTTTCCATGTTCAGGTAGGGTCACACACATGTAGCTCAGGTGGTCCATACACAGGTAAGGTCACACACATGTAGCTCAGGTGATCCATGTACAGGTAGGGTCACACACATGTAGCTCAGGTGTTCCATGTACAGGTAGGGTCATACATGTAGCTCAGGTGATCCATATACAGGTAGGGTCATACATGTAGCTCAGGTGATCCATATACAGGTAGGGTCATACATGTAGCTCAGGTGATCCATATACAGGTAGGGTCATACATGTAGCTCAGGTGATCCATATACAGGTAGGGTCATACATGTAGCTCAGGTGGGCCATGTACAGGTAGGGTCACACACATGTAGCTCAGGTGGTCCATACACAGGTAAGGTCACACACATGTAGCTCAGGTGGTCCATGTTCAGGTTGGATCACACAGATGTAGCTCAGCTGATCTGTGTGCAAGTAGGGTCACATGCTCAGGTGGACAATGTACAGGTAGGCTGACACACTCAGGTGGTCCATTTACAGGTAGGGTCTTACGCTCAGGTGGTCCAAGTTTGCAATTTGTTTTTCTTCTTTTGAGTGACTGACATAATCCTAACTTATCATCTGGTGATTCTTCGTCTGATATTTATTTCAGCTTAGAAATTTAACACAAGTCAGTCATATTACACCAACAGGGAGTCAGTCATTGAGCCAGTAGATCCTAACACAAATCAGTCATATCATATTTACAGGGAGCAGTAGATCCCTTCATATATATTCAAAGGGATATTTTCACTGCCATGCATAATTTGATTTTCCTCCGCACACAGTTCATTAAACTCCATCCCAATCAAAAACTCTAAGCATGTAACTAGATATGAATTGCTATCAGTATGTACATTTCACACATAAACCATTTACAGAGGACTCAGCAAGACTAGGATCTACTGGCTCCATGACTGACTCCCTGAAGTAGTAATATGACTGACTTGTGTTAGGATCTGCTGGCTCCATGACTGACTCCCTGAAGTAGTAATATGACTGACTTGTGTTAGGATCTGCTGGCTCCATGACTGACTCCCTGAAGGTGTAATATGACTGACTTGTGTTAGGATCTGCTGGCTCCATGACTGACTCCCTGAAGTAGTAATATGACTGACTTGTGTTAGGATCTGCTGGCTCCATGACTGACTCCCTGTAGGTTTAATGTGACTGAATTCTGTTAGGATCTACTGGCTCCATGACTGACTGGTTCTTTGACCGACTGATTCTTTGACTGATGGGCTCCATGACTAACAGGCTCCTTGTGTGTTCAGATCCTTGAGCAGCAGCTGCAGCAGATGCGGGCCACGTACCAGCTGAACCAAGAGAAGCTGGAGTACAACTTCCAGGTGTTGAAGAAACGTGACGACGAGAACACCATCACCAAGTCCCAGCAGAAGAGAAAGATCACACGGTAAGACAGATTCACTACTGCTTAACAGCCTCCGATGTCTCAAGTGATCAAAGATTATGATTGTTGTAGCAGGCCAGTGCTGAGTTAACAAGCTCTGTAAGACACTGACTAAAGACGATTTTTCAAATGTTTATATTTCAACATTAATGTGTCATGTTACATCAATCATGGACCAACTGCAGTATTTTGATCTTCATTGTAAGCAAGACCCTGCCATGTGGGAAACTTCCATTTCTGTGAGTATAACTAACTTCATTGTTTATGTTCCGCCATCCGTCAGTAAATAATATTCCACTGACTACCTTACTTTCTACAATCATTTCTCAAACAAATACAGCTGTGAAGAAGAGTTAAAATATTGATAGTGTTAATTCACCCTGGTTAGATTTTTATAAGAAGCAATTCATGATATCGGTGGTTACAGACATTTTAGGAGTGTTTCACACACTTTTCACTGTTATATAATTGTGTATGTGGTAAGTGTTTTCCAGTCCTGTCACCTATAGCTGACATGGAGTAGGGCAAGTTTACTATTCGGGTACCCAACCTCCTAGTACCCAACCTTACCCGGGTACCTTCTGTAGCGTCAGGAGTTGATATTTAGGAAGTAATATATATAGTCGGATCATAGGTTTTCAGATAAGTTTTCCGATGACCATGATTATCACAATTACTTAAGCTATAACTGGGGGTGTAGCATCATACAGACATTGCAAATAGCCAGATGATGGCCTGTTTTTAAGAGAAAGTTGTCTTTTATTTATTGAATGGGATGTTTTACAGTTGTTCATGTAGTGAGAGAAAACTACAAATTTTCTTAAACCAAAATTTTGATAAAACCCATCACTGGGGATACATGTATAAAACGAACTGGTCATTCATTCACTGAAATTGACTGAAGCTTTATCTTTATTAAAACATATAAAAGTCATAAAGAATGCATTCATAGTCAGAGTGAGTGAGCATGGCTTTATGGCGCTTTTAGCAATATTCCAGCAATATCACGGCAGGGGACACCAGAAATGGGCTTCACACATTGTACCCATGTCGGGAATCGAACCCGGGTCTTCAGCGTGACGAGCGAGCGCTTTAACCACTAGGCTACCCGACCGCCCCGTGCATAGTCAGAAAGAAATGTGAACATTAGTGACTTGTAGTGTAACCATGGAGTTATAATGAATGTTTAACTAACTAGTCCTGTGGGTACCCAGGTCCTACTCAGTACCAACCCGAGTACCCTAACGTGGAGACATGTTACGCATGTGTTGTACATTGATATCATATAGTGTGTCTGTATGAGTATAGCAGATGACTCTCTGTCACCAGGTTACAAGATGTCCTGAATGGAGCCAGAATAAAACTGGCGAAACAGGAGAAGCAGTACAGGTACAGTTTCTTAAATGAGTACAGAAATAGGTGAAACTAATAATTGTTCTTTCAAAGTTCATAGTGGACCTGTGATTATTACAAGAAAGTCCTATAATTTCTCGTCATGTTACATGTTTTATGAGGTAAATAGATCCAGTACTGTCTGTAGTTGTTGTGTATCCATTATTGTGTTCTTTTGTCAATTAGCTGCTTTTCTTAAATGATTAGCTGACACATTGATGCAGTCACAACACTAGTAGAGATTCCAGGGCTGAACAGGCCCCTAGTATCCAAGCTCATCATTTGAGTAAACTAAGAAGTGTGTTAGTTAGGTAAATGTGTGATAAGGCTGACAGTACCATCCACCCTGACAGTACCATCAACCATGACAGTACCATCAACCCCGACAGTACCATCAACCCCGACAGTACCATCAACCCTGACAGTACCATCAACCCTGACAGTACCATCAACCATGACAGTACCATCAACCCCGACAGTACCATCAGACCTGACAGTGCCATCAGACCTGATGGTACCTTAAACCCTGACAGTACCATCAACCATGACAGTACCATCAACCCTGACAGTACCATCAGACCTGACAGTGCCATCAGACCTGATGGTACCTTAAACCCTGACAGTACCATCAACCCTGACAGTACCATCAACCCCGACAGTACCATCAACCCCGACAGTACCATCAACCCTGACAGTACCATCAACCCTGACAGTACCATCAACCCTGACAGTACCATCAACCCTGACAGTACCATCAACCCTGACAGTACCATCAACCCTGACAGTATGGGTTGTTGCTCGTGCTATGACTGGTCTGCATGGTTCAGATGACATTGTTCATAAGCTGCTGTGACATCTTAGTAATGCTGGCATAAGGCAACTTTCACCTACCTTGTCTTTCAATTCCTGATTCGGCTTATCTGCGGGTCATATCATTTTCTTTCGTATTTCAATGGTCAAATTAACACCTCGGCTTATCTACGGGGTCGGCTTATCCGCGGTCATATACGGTACTCCATCAATGGATGTTTTCAGGGATGAGAATCAGCAGCTGAGTGAGGATTACAAGAGAATCACAGAACAGTTCCGAGACCTGCAGAGGAAGTCAAAGTAGGTTTACAGCATCATTTACATTACATCTACATTTTTATCAGCACCATACCTGTGCTCATGGTCTTCACCAACGGTGAACATCTCTGTCATGTGTCACTGTGCGATTTCATTCCACATTAAGCTGATACTGTTCAAGGGAATGTTTTAACACAATACACTCTCTCCCTCTTGTAGCCTATGTATCTCTGGGTTGCAAGTTGTTGGGAATTCCTCTCCAGATGACTGTTATGATTAATGTGTTCTGCCTTCTGTTTGTACAATGATTTCATTCCATTATTTCTATACTGCCTGCATGTGTTATTTGTCAGACACTTCATGGCCACAGATGAGAAGAAGCTGGCTGACGTGTGGTGCATGAACGAAGAGGAGTGTAAGACTTTGGTGGAGGCTATTATGGAGGGGGACCGAATCATCCACGAGCAGCAGCTGGGTCTAGACTGGAGATCCCCTGATCTGTGAGTACATGTATAGACCTGGGAGTAAGGAGGGAGGGGGACCGAATCATCCACGAGCAGCAGCTGGGTCTAGACTGGAGGCCCCCAGATCTGTGAGTATAGACCTGGGAGTAAGGAGGGAGTATGCTTTGAAAATAATATTATAGGTATTGACTGTTGCTTCATTTTTTGCAGGTCATTCATGGACAATGTTGGTCCACTGCGTGGCAATGCAGGCCCTGATGGTATGACCGCCACACAAGTGCTCCATGAAGTTCTCTCCCAGACTGGTGAGCTCTACCAGAAGCTCTTTAAAGTGCAATTAACTTTACACTTTAAAAAATGTCTTTTGACTGCTGACAGTATCTATTGAAACATTGAGACTGTATTTACACCCAACAAAGTCTTACGATAACCAAGATGACTCTAACTGTTGTTGATTTATGAGGTGTTTATGTCTGAAGGTTTGACCGGCTTCAAAACGCATCTTCAGGTTTAGTGAAAGATAGACAATTGAAAAAGATAATGGACAAACTTAGTTGTTTTATGTAGATTAATAGCAATTGGATCATTTTGTCTCTCACATATCTGAATAAATCAGGAATTATTTGTTTCTGTTATTACAGGAAGCCAACAGGACATGGAGGAACGGGAGGATGAGGAAGAACTAGAAGATGCAGATGATGAACCTCATCAACTTAACAAGAAAAACAGTATTTTCTCTAAAATCTCTGCACACACAATCAAGTCTATCCTGGAACTCCTGTGTGATGAATCCGTAAGTGTCACTCATTGAAACTTATCCTATCTCATACGATGCATTTCTTCCTTCTTCTTTTGTGCTTGAACAAAGTTTCCAGCTTCTAAAAACAATTCACCTGAACACATCCCAGCATCACCATGGTCAACACACTAACAAATGGGTCACTCACTGTAATCCCATGCATCATGACCTTACAACATATGATTACCTGACTACCAGTGCAACTTTATTCTGTTTCTCATCGCCACCCTGTACACCCGACGTGTATTGAGGTGTAGAGAATACCCAAACGATATTCCCGCCCCATCAGACATGCCGTCTGCCCCAGTGTGACTGTGTCCAAGTCTATGTCGGAGCAGCCAGCAGCCTCGTACGTCTACATGGTTTTCTCCAAAGAGGACACACCTCAGCCAGCTTCCACCGCCTTGATCGTCTTCCTTCCTAGCGCTACCTGTCTGTCAGTCGCCTGTCGTCCCCTGCTCCTCCAAGCACTTTTGTTCCAGTGGTCGCCGGCCTCATCGCAGGTCACAGTTACTTCCAAGTCAAGTCTGCAGGTTTTGACATGGAATGATTATTTGAGTTTGTCCTCTACCACAACGAAGCCAGGATCAATCTTGCGCTTTCGACATGGATTCCTGTGCTTCCAGGGGTCGACACTCATTGGAGTATTGACATTCAGGATCTAGGGATCATGGATCTCTAGATCAACACTCTTGCCATTGGCGTCTGGGGAATCAACCTTCTCGGGATCGACGCTCTACTGATCGACATTGCAACAGAGCTACAAATTTGTCAAAGACCACTCCTGTTTAACGTAATGATCGCCATCCTTTATAGGATGATTCCTATACTGACTCTGCTGATCGATCAGATCATCAGTATCATCGGGATTGTTCCCACTCCTATGATTTGAACCCTCAGCGACAAGATATCGGCTTTTGCCCAGAGATTAGCGAATACGAGGATCGACCACACAGCTGGGATCGGTACCCCCCACATCTGTATCTGTATCGTCATATGTGTGCCTACCCTAATGTCTGGTCTTATCCTGACTACCACACTCGTGCCAACTTCTACCGTTTTGCGCCTCCATGGGATCGCTCCATGGAACGCTATGGACAAGAGGATCGTCGTCAACCCTCATTTTTTTTCACTTTGAGAAAGTTTGCCGGTGGACACTCATGCGGATTTCCGTACTCCTAGTAGATCTACGTCGCTCTCTCAGACCTCGGGTACTGCTCAACCTACCTCGGCTGTGACTTTGAGATGATCACCCTTGCCCACCCCCTTGCCACTGCTGCTAGAATGAGTGAGATCCATGCTCTTGATGTTAACAGGGTCAAGTTGAGAGAATATAGATAAGAAGGTCTTTCTGGGCATTCACTTGGGCAACAATTGATGACCGCACACCAGCGCAGATAGACGTTACTAACGTGCACCTGCTATTTAGTACTCTGTATCCTGTATATACAGAATAAATATTGGAATTGTCGCTCCTGTGTATATGGTCTTTGTAGTGTCCCTTAGTTGAGGGTAAGCATGTCTTCAACATTTTGGCATCCCGTTCCCTTACCTGCTCACCTCTGCTTTAGGCACGTGATGTCTTGGTATTTGTTCAATGATCCTCCAGTGGATGTTGTCTATTGTACCTCTTCTCGTCTTTGCATGTTTCAATCCCGCGAGCATGGTTGACAGCTTTGACAAAGTGTTAAAAGAGATGCCAAGCTAGCTCACCTATTGTCCATCGGAGATAGTGGTGCTGTCTGTCTTGTAGAACTGATAGCCTGGAGACCCCTCCAGGAATGGAACGGTTATAAGTTGGTCGCTGAATCGATTCCTATTCAAGCTACGCAGTTGTTCGTGTAACAATGTCCTACGTGAAAACATGTTACACATGTTCTACCAGATTCCATGTTGTTGTTTCTTATTTTACGTAAAGGGGTTACATCACCTGTTATGCTGTGTTTACCAACTGACGATTTTGTGTCTTACCACACAAGGCAGTGTTGTCGATTCTTTTATTGGTATCACTGTCTAACACCAGCTTCCTCGTGTACATCTCATGGTTGCAGTCTCTCCAGGCTAGGGTAGCCGCGTCCAGTCATAAAATCGTGTGGAAATATGCATAGGGGGAGATAGGATAAATTTAAACATTGTAAATTTTATATTGAATTGTATATTTATATACTTATCCTATCTCACATGCTTTATGCCCACCCGACCATCCCCACATCACAGCTCTGCTAGCCTGTCAGCTCTGGGAAAGAGAACGATGTGGCAGGGTTAGTCAGGTGATCATGTCATGTGAAGAATTACAGTGCATGACCCATTTGGTGGGGTGGTGACCATGGTGATGCTGGGATGTGTTCAGGTGAATTGTTTTTAGAGGTTGGAAAATTTCAAACACATTTCCACATCAGAATTGAAAGAAGAAAGAAGAAATGCATTGTGTGAGATAGGATATGTATATAAATATACAATTTAATGTAAAATTTACAAATACTTGTTTTGTCATAAATCATTTGTTCATGGTTCTAATAGCACTACGTCTTGGTGTATCTCATCAACATGGATATACAAAGGGCTTGGCCAGTGAATGTCAATAAGCACAATATGATACAAAATATTTGAGTAGATGAAAATGTATGTATTGTTAATGTTTGTAGTCCACGACCTTCTGACTATTTGCTTGGCAAGATCCTTGTTCTTCACACATGTTAAAGGAACAGAGTATGTATCCAGCTACAGCAGAACATAGTGTAGAACGAACATGGATATGGTGAACATATTGTTATGACAAATTTTAAAAAGTCCTCACTGCAGCTCTATGTATAATCATATACAAATCATATGTATTGCGAACTGATTCTTGATATTATTTACCTTGCCTAAATATAGCTTGTAAAAAGTGTTTGGATTTCCAGTAACTTTCTGTAGAAAAGTCCTAAATGTAACATATTCAGACATAAAATATTGAAATATTCAAAACACTACACTACTCAATTTACCCATGTGTTGTTATTTTGGGACACAAATTGGAGAACACATCATTATGGCTGCCATCTTATTTCAGTCAAGGGAGGTAACTGGTCAGTATGGTTGTTTGTCTTGCAGGGCTTCCTGGTGGAGCAGAAACTCAACAAGCTCTTGATGCCCCTGGAGAAGGATGAACAGTCGCTGATGAAGCTAGATGCCATCTTCTCAGTAAGTTACATCTTGTGGCTTCAAATATATATATACATACTTTACACAAACTCTCTTTTCCATGTGGGGGCACGGGTGGCCCAGTCGTCTAAGGCGCCACGATTCGCTGTGCAGAGTTGTATCCCTTGGGCACGCCAGAAACCTATGATTGTGGGTTCGAATCCCAGTTCACCCCGATTATGTTTCTAGGTTTGTCAGCACCATACCCATGCTCGTGGGTTTCACCGAAGTGGTAAACGTCTGAGACCTGCATCACTTTGGGCTTTCCTCCTACATTAAGCTGACACGCCGTGATATAACTAGAATACTAATAAAAGCGGCGTAAAACCAAACTCACTCACTCACTCACTCTTTTCCATGTGTCCAGCCTGTACAGAATATTGCCGACTATATATACTGTCAGTACATGTGTTGAGTTAGTTACATATTCTAATACAGATAACTGCTTCTGTGTGTCAATAAGTTGTGCTTTGTTCCTGATAAGATTTAGCAGGGCATCAGTTCTGTAACTGTTAAGGCATGACATGGCGTATAGATAGGGTTGTGTGCTTTTGTGTGTTTTATTTGACTTGTGTTTTGAAGGCGCTGGGGATCGAGACGGAGGAGGACATACACAAGCTGGCCACCTACTTCATGCATTTACGGGAGAAGACACTGGTGGAGGACGAGAAGGTACACACGCATACCTCTCTGTACATCACAAACTGCCTGACACGTGTCCAACAACTGCCTGTACTTCAGACACTGTACCTGGACACACACCTGTCTGTACTTCAGACACTGTACCTGGACACACACCTGTCCATAGTTCAGACACTCTACCTGGACACACACCTGCCTGTACTTCAGACACTGTACCTTGACACACACCTGCCTGTACTTCAGACACTACCTGGACACACACCTGACACCTGTCTGTACTTCTGACCCTGTACCAGGACACACACCTGACACCTGCCTGTACTTCAGACACTGTACCTGGACACACACCTGCCTGTACTTCAGTTACTACCTGGACACACACCTGACACCTGTCTGTACTTCAGACACTGTACCTGGACACACACCTGCCTGCACTTCAGACACTGTACCAGGACACACACCTGTCCATAGTTCAGACAATGTACCAGGACAAACACCTGCCTGTACTTCAGACACTGTACCTGGACACACACCTGACACCTGTCTGTACTTCAGACACTGTACCTGGACACACACCTGCCTGTACTTCAGACACTACCTGGACACACACCTGACACCTGCCTGCACTTCAGACACTGTACCTGAACACACACCTTTCTGTACTTCAGACACTGTACCTGGACACACACCTGTCTGTACTTCAGACACTGTACCTGGACACACACCTGTCTGTACTTCAGACACTGTACCTGGACACACACCTGCCTGTACTTCAGACACTGTACCTGGACACACACCTGACACCTGTCTGTACTTCAGACACTGTACCTGGACACACACCTGCCTGTACTTCAGACACTACATGGACACACACCTGACACCTGCCTGTACTTCAGACACTGTACCAGGACACATACCTGACACCTGTCTGTACTTCAGACACTGTACCTGGACACACACCTGCCTGTACTTTAGACACTGTACCTGGACACATACCTGCCTGTACTTCAGACACTGTACCAGGACACATACCTGACACCTGCCTGTACTTCAGAATCTGTACCTGGACACACACCTGCCTGTACTTTAGACACTGTACCTGGACACATACCTGCCTGTACTTCAGACACTGTACCAGGACACATACCTGACACCTGCCTGTACTTCAGAATCTGTACCTGGACACACACCTGCCTGTACTTCAGACACTGTACCAGGACACACACCTGCCTGAACTTCAGACACTGTACCAGGACACACACCTGACACCTGCCTGTACTTCAGACACTGTACCTGGACACACACCTGACACCTGCCTGTACTTCAGACCCTGTACCAGGTCACACACCTGACACCTGCCTGTACTTCAGACACTGTACCTGGACACATACCTGACACCTGCCTGTACTTCAGACACTGTACCAGGACACATACCTGACACCTGCCTGTACTTCAGACACTGTACCAGGACACATACCTGACACCTGCCTGTACTTCAGACACTGTACCAGGACACATACCTGACACCTGCCTGTACTTCAGACACTGTACCTGGACACACACCTGTCTGTACTTCAGACACTGTACCAGGACACATACCTGACTGTACTTCAGACACTGTACCAGGACACATACCTGACACCTGCCTGTACTTCAGACACTGTACCTGGACACACACCTGTCTGCACTTCAGACACTGTACCAGGACACATACCTGACACCTGCCTGTACTTCAGACACTGTACCAGGACACATACCTGACACCTGCCTTTACTTTAGACACTGTACCTGGACACACACCTGTCTGCACTTCAGACACTGTACCAGGACACACACCTGACACCTGCCTGTACTTCAGACACTGTACCAGGACACATACCTGACACCTGCCTTTACTTTAGACACTGTACCTGGACACACACCTGTCTGCACTTCAGACACTGTACCAGGACACACACCTGTCTGCACTTCAGACACTGTACCAGGACACACACCTGACACCTGCCTGTACTTCAGACACTGTACCAGGACACATACCTGACACCTGCCTTTACTTTAGACACTGTACCTGGACACACACCTGTCTGCACTTCAGACACTGTACCAGGACACACACCTGACACCTGCCTGTACTTCAGACACTGTACCAGGACACATACCTGACACCTGCCTGTACTTCAGACACTGTACCTGGACACATACCTGACACCTGCCTGTACTTCAGACACTGTACCAGGACACATACCTGACACCTGCCTGTACTTCAGACACTGTACCAGGACACATACCTGACACCTGCCTGTACTTCAGACACTGTACCTGGACACACACCTGTCTGTACTTCAGACACTGTACCAGGACACATACCTGACTGTACTTCAGACACTGTACCAGGACACATACCTGACACCTGCCTGTACTTCAGACACTGTACCTGGACACACACCTGTCTGCACTTCAGACACTGTACCAGGACACATACCTGACACCTGCCTGTACTTCAGACACTGTACCAGGACACATACCTGACACCTGCCTTTACTTTAGACACTGTACCTGGACACACACCTGTCTGCACTTCAGACACTGTACCAGGACACACACCTGACACCTGCCTGTACTTCAGACACTGTACCAGGACACATACCTGACACCTGCCTTTACTTTAGACACTGTACCTGGACACACACCTGTCTGCACTTCAGACACTGTACCAGGACACACACCTGTCTGCACTTCAGACACTGTACCAGGACACACACCTGACACCTGCCTGTACTTCAGACACTGTACCAGGACACATACCTGACACCTGCCTTTACTTTAGACACTGTACCTGGACACACACCTGTCTGCACTTCAGACACTGTACCAGGACACACACCTGACACCTGCCTGTACTTCAGACACTGTACCAGGACACATACCTGACACCTGCCTGTACTTCAGACACTGTACCAGGACACATACCTGTCTGCACTTCAGACGCTGTACCTAGACACAACAACTGCTCCTTAATCATACACCATACAAGCACATGGCACCTGCATGTACATTAGACATTTCACCTCTATACATACATAAACCGATTCCATCTAAATGTCTGGGCCACGTTCCTTAAAGCAATCGTAGCACTGTTGTAAGTCAATGTCAAAGTATGGGAGTTACAGTCGTCTTACCGCTAAGATAGCTTTGTGGAACAGAACCCTGGTCTGTTATTGTGTGTCCCTTGTACAGTCTCTGTGGATTAAGCAAGGATCCCCTATGTACTAAGTGTGCTTGTCGTAAGAGGCGACTAACGGGATCGGGTGGTCAGGCTCACTGACTTGGTTGATGTATGTCATTGTATCTCAATTGAGTGGATCATCACGATATGGATGAAATATTGCCGATGTGACATAAAGCATAAACTCACTCACTCACCCAATTGCCTGGATCGATGCTCCTGATGTCAATCACTGGATTGTCTGGTCAACCTCGATTATTTACAGACCACCGCCATATAGCTGGAATATTGCTGAGGGCTGCGTTGAACAACAAACAAAGGAACCAACAAACAAGTGTGCTTGTACTGTGCTTTTATTCTTGATTCTTACTTAACTGATGGCTTGTTCCTGGTTTCAGAAAGATGACATTCCTGAGAAATCTGATGACCAGTCTACCAGAGCAGATGTAAGTGACAAGACTTATCAATAGATTGTGGGTCACATGTAGACTGAAGGAAAGCAAGAAATTGCATAATATGACAGTGTAACACAAACACCAATGTAGTTTTCTCTATATGAATAACCTGGTACAGTAGATGATCTGGTGTTTCAGGTGGATGAGTTGGATGAGGAAATACAGCAGCTGACAGGGAGGAGGAGTCAGGACGAGGAGACGGAGGAGCCCCGAGGAGAGGAGGAGGAGGAGAAAGTTCAGCTGGTACATCCGAATGAGGTCCTCAAAGCTCTCCGGGCATTTGTGGAAGACCACAGGCAGCCTGTCAAGTGAGTAGTATATGCTGCTGCTGCTGCTAATGATAATGATGATGATGATGATGATGATGATGATGATGATGATGAATGGTTTTGTATAACCTGTAAATTTTCTCCCAAATTAGCCTGAGGTTATTTTGGTGAATTTACTGTTTCAAATCTCTAAATCATCCATAATAAAATGGAGAATTTGTGAAACAAGTAATGTAGGATATTGAATAGAGTGTTTCTATGTGCAGCAAAGGCTTACATATTGTGGTAATGTTAATTACATTAATCTTCTTAAGGGAGAAAGGAGGCAAGTCACAGTTTAAGATTGCGACTCTGGAAGAACGAGATGACTCGGAGGATTCGGACTACTGGGCCAAATATGCAGGCATCCTCTCAGACAAGAAGGAGAGAATGTGGGATGCATTGATTGATGGGATGGAAAAGTACAGGTATCACACACTCTTCAGTTTGTCATCTGTTGAAGTAATTCTAACTGTGTTATTAGCTCTGATCATATTGAGATCATCCAGATACAAGATTTATGCAATATGAATGTACACTTGCCAACAATATATATAAATATGTGTCACACAACCCAACAATATATGTAAATGTGTGCGTTCCACTTTCCAGAGTACATTGTAAATGTGTGAGTTGCACTTGCCGTAGTACATGTGTAAATGTGTGAGTTGCACTTGCCGTAGTGCATGTGTAAATGTGTGAGTTGCACTTGCCGTAGTACATGTGTAAATGTGTGAGTTGCACTTGCCGTAGTAAATGTGTAAATGTGTGAGTTGCACTTGCCATAGTACATGTGTAAATGTGTGAGTTGCACTTGCCATAGTACATGTGTAAATGTGTGAGTTGCACTTGCCGTAGTACATGTGTAAATGTGTGAGTTGCACTTGCCGTAGTAAATGTGTAAATGTGTGAGTTGCACTTGCCGTAGTACATGTGTAAATGTGTGAGTTGCACTTGCCGTAGTACATTGTAAATGTGTGAGTTGCACTTGCCGTAGTACATGTGTAAATGTGTGAGTTGCACTTGCCGTAGTAAATGTGTAAATGTGTGAGTTGCACTTGCCGTAGTACATGTGTAAATGTGTGAGTTGCACTTGCCGTAGTACATTGTAAATGTGTGAGTTGCACTTGCCGTAGTACATGTGTAAATGTGTGAGTTGCACTTGCCGTAGTACATGTGTAAATGTGTGAGTTGCACTTGCCGTAGTACATTGTAAATGTGTGAGTTGCACTTGCCATAGTACATGTGTAAATGTGTGAGTTGCACTTGCCATAGTACATGTGTAAATGTGTGAGTTGCACTTGCCGTAGTACATGTGTAAATGTGTGAGTTGCACTTGCCATAGTACATGTGTAAATGTGTGAGTTGCACTTGCCGTAGTACATGTGTAAATGTGTGAGTTGCACTTGCCGTAGTACGTGTGTAAATGTGTTGAGTTGCACTTGCCGTAGTACATGTGTAAATGTGTGTTGCCAGTGAGGTGTTGAGCAGTCGGTCCAGCCTGATCACGGAGACAGATGCACTTCGACAACAGAATGCAGAACTGCGCATGTTGCTGCACCAGTATGTAAACTCCAAGGTAAGAAGGTCACACCACACATCTGCGACGTCAACAGTCTTAGTAGCGTTTGGATTCAATGGTTTTGGTTCTTTTTCCCCATAAAGATGCTACATCACCTATGTTTCAAGCAAAACTTAGCAGTCAGGTTTCACATAGAAAGTAAAGATACAAACAAGGTACAAGCCACTACTATGTGCAAATACTGTCTTGATACTGTGTTCGATCCAGTAACCCAGCCAGACCTTATGAGTTTTTGTCATTACAAATGTGGTGAGATAAGAGAGGATCTTTCAAGTGAACACTCAGGCCAGGAAATACTTTAGGTGACAATGAAAGATCTGCTAAGTTATGAAGATACATTTTACTGAACTGTGCATTATGTAGCATGGCTAGAGATCTTCAGAGACTGACATTATTATTGGACTACATATAAGTGCTCCCGTTGTTATTAACTTCATTAACACGTCATAATCCTTTAGATTAGCACCTACTTTGCCTTCTAATGTCTCAGATGCTTATTGGGGTGAAGTAATGTCAACATTATTGTTACAATATACATCCTTCCTACGAGTACATTACGATAGTCTCTGATTGGCCTTCACAATTGCTTTGTTGCACTTTGTAGAATATTGTGCATCATGTGTAGATTTGAGTGTTATCATACATGGTATATGGACAGTTATTAGCTGGATAACTCAGTAACTCAGGTTTTGGACTATTGCTAAGGTCACAGACTGCCTAAATACTCTGATTGAAAGTGTAATTCTGAAAGTAATGAAACATGAAGGGGTTGAGTGTTTCCTTGCCTAGTCATCATTGGTACTTAAGAATACAATGGCAGGAAAAACACTTCAATTCACTTGTTGTCTTTTTCTTGGTTGTTTGAGGAATTTGTAGCTTTGTATTGACATTTTTTTTCAGATTGTAATAGCAAATTATTTTCAGGTAGAGTTTACAAATGAGGTCTTACTCTGATACTGTGCTCTGTCTCTTGCAGGTGAATTCAGAGCTTGAGATTCCACCTACTCGAGTTCTTCAGCTGGAGATGAATCCACAGTGAACACAGTCTCAAAGACTAAACTTGTATATAAAAGATTGTACATTTATAAGGCGATTTTTGTCCTAGAAGAAATCATTATTTATGCAGTATAACAAAGTATGGTATTGTAAATAAACACAAATGAAAACACTTATTTGTTCATGTTGTTTGTTATCAATTAGGAAATGGTGGCATCAAGTCACTCCTTTGTGTGTACAAGTTCTTTGCCTCTCCCTTTGTATTTTAATATCCTGATAAAGTAGTCATCCACCCTGTATCTTAAAGCACTACAAATACTTGAAAATTACATGAATAGCAGCTGTGGGTATAAATTGAACACTGTGTTTAAAGTGATTTGGCTTGGGCTGTTTGACGCTGCACTCAGCAGTATTCCAGCTATATGACAGGGGTCTGTAAATAAATGAGTCCAGTGATTGACATCATGAGCATATGCAATAGGGATACGATGACATGCATCCACCAAGTCAGAGAGCCTGTTCTGATCCCATGCCTCTTTGTGAACACCCATGCAAATCCATGTACATAGATACAGCTCGAGCGGTAGGGTTGTATAATGTATAATTTTTATTTCTAAAACAACTGTGAATGCTGCAATCTGACTGTTCAAACAGTTGTCAATGCATGAAGAATGCTTGTTACTTTATGGTCCTATACAATGGCATATGTCTTACTGGAATGAAGCAATGTGAATCCACTTGTTTCTACATGTCCTGTTTATGTTGCAGGCAGTCTTCACAAAGATGTCTTAACTAAAACAAATCTTAGCAACTTACCACTGCCATAAGAGCTAGGCTTGAAGCTATCTCAAACCTATCGCAATGCCTTTCTTAGGACACAAATTATATCTAAGTGAGCTCTTTTGCGAAAGAGGTGAAAAAGCTTTGAACTGGGAGCGGGGTGTTCCAATGACGTCATTGGTTCTGTTCCAGATGGAAATTCATGTATACAATTAGATAGATTTTCCTCATGTTATTATGTACAATTGATCAGTGAAAGATATTATTGTAAGCTGTTGTCCTGTGTAAATAGATATAGCAAGCATTGAAGACTAAAATATAGAACTTGAAAGGAAGATGTTCTCAGAACCCATATCGCAAATACGTCCTAAGTAGGTAGTAACTTTGCAATAATATATACAGGGACACCAATTTTGCAACTTTCTTTTATTTCGTTTTGAGAAAACACTTGCAACTTGCATTGTCCGAAATGATTTGAAAACAAAGCTTCGACGATAGGTATGCACTGCTTAACCTTAGAAAAGAACTATGTTCAACTTGTCTAAGTGTTGCACAGTGCAACCATTTAACTGGTAGGTTTTGACTAATTATTTTAGATTCCAAAATCACAGTTGGACACTGCCAGTTAATTATTTGCAGACAAATGCAATTAAAGAGCAACCTGTTATCATAAACAAGCATGAATCTAATGGTGTTGGCCATGCTTACTAAAGTTTCAGCCTCATGCCTTGCTCAGTGACTGAGTTTTAGACACTATGCCAGTTGATTAATTATTTGCAGCAATATACTGATTTTATTTAACATAGCATTGTAAATTTTACATTAAATTGTATATTGATATTCTTATATCTCCCACTAAGCATTTCTTCCACCTTCTTTCGATCCTTTTGTGGAAACGTGCTTGAATAAAGTTTCAAGCATCACCATGGCAACCATCCGAGCTAATAGGTCTAAGGAATGCACTTGGTGTACCAGAATAATGAACCTATCATTGTGTTACCCTATATTGCTTTAGGTTCCTGACAACCTTGGGTAAACTAAATAACCAGCTCATCTTCTAAACCTAGGTTTTGAAGTGGTTCTTTTCCAAACCTAAGTTTTGAATGGGTCACTTCTAAACCTGCTTTGAGGTTTCACATTTCAGTTGTAATACCAAGGTTTTAAAATTGACGTTTTATAAACTGGCCTCTTGATATGAACACAACGTTCATTTTTGATAGCCATAATGCGAATTGAACCTATATTATCCTATATTTATACAAGACTGGACCACCTGTGCCCCCAAGTAGATAAGAGAAAAAAATTAAAAATAAAGTTAGTTTTCTTGAAGTAACATGACATAAGCTCAGTCCAGGAGATCAAACAATGCAGTCATTTTACAACTCATGGACATGTACTCTACACACACACACACACTGTTTGAAATTATGCATGAAAACCGAGAAGGGGTCTTTGTCATGAACCATATGAGTAATTAATTATTGCTTAATGCTGCATCAGCAATCTTGCAGCTATTCACGGTGCATAACCGTAATGTTAAAAGTTAAGCCTCATGGGTCTTTTCCTTAGAAGACCTCAAAGACCCCAGGACCCTCTTAACAGTGCACATTACTTTTCCCAACAAATGGTCCATGTCACTCCCAAGAAACAAATGCACTCGTCCTGAATGGCCCTATTCTTGACATCCAGTGATTTCTCCATCCATGTTTTCTGCTGAAGCATATATGTAATCCGAGGTACAAAAGAAAAGAGAAAGTCAAACATCATTCAAAGCTTTATTGCTAAGGAATGAGACCATGTTTATAAAAAAAAAACAGTTTAACAATTACGTGGAAAGGTCCCTCCGGAAGTATGATGTTGATAGGTCAATGGCAAGCGTTTCATCTACAAGTTATACGCAGTCTATGTACAGATCAATATATACACAACCAGGATATACACAGGGCAAAGACATTGTAGCTGCCAAGAGGACCAATGAGAAAGATGGCAGGTTCAAGGAATCATAACGTCTCCACAAGATGTCAAACTTAGCATCTGAAATAAAAAACTTTACAGACATACCTTCAATTGTTCATATTCTTTGTCCATTTTCTTATTAAATTAAACAAAGATATCAATTTCAATTTTTGAACATTCTGACATACTAGCATGCAGCAATGCATGTAATATTTATTGAAATGGTATCATTGGTGACCAGACAACTGGTAGTAGTGCACCTGTGATGCTGGTTATAGATACTGCACCTTGTAAACAAGCTGAGAGCAGGCCTAGGGAGCAGCTCAACACACTACAAGCAAGCTGGCCAGGCTAAATGCTGAGTCAACTGCTGGCTACCAGGCTACCAGCCTACCGCTAAGATTGCAGCAACACATAACAGAGGAAAATTACAGCAATTACATTCAATATGGTTGTTACATAAATTCCTTCATTTAAAAAAAAAATGTTTTCAAATATTGACATTTTGACACAAAATATATTAATAATAACCCAATTTGATAAACTTAATGATTTAACAATAACCATATTTTGAAGTTTCACACTGGAATTCATTGGAATGTAACTGCGATATGATTGCTATGTCTTACTTGATGTAATGTACAATAAACGTGAGTCGTCTACACAGGAAAAATGAAAGTGACATTGCACGATGCAGGATACACAATGGTTAACATGGTATTAATGTACAAGTAAAAAATGATTTTGCCATCCCACCGGCTAACACCTTTCGCACGTGTAAGGAAGTATAAAATAAATAACTTTTTATATACACGGAGGGTATACAGTTAACCAGGATGGCAGTTCATATAAAACAACATGTCATATAAAATTCACTTAAAAGTGACTAAACATGTAAACAATATGACAACAACTCAAGCATTTGGTTGTCCTCTACATACACCAACCAATACAAGACGCATACACAATATCATAAAATCATTAAAGACATCAAATGAAATAATTTTGCATAAAACATATATGGCTAGTGAGGAACTACCATAACAACCTGAATTTATACAAAAGAAATACACAGAAACACAACTTATGTGAGCATAAATTTTACTGGAACAGTAATTTAGTATGAAAGGTACATATCAACTCTAATGCAACACAAATTAAACAAAGTTAAGGAATGAACTACTCATACATCATTATTATCTAAATAATATCGTCGCAGTCAGACTGGTGACCACAAACCTCTGCCACCAAAACAATGTTAGCTATGAGATAAGAATGACATAACAGGCAAATTCCAAAGCATATAAAATTTGAACATTCTTATTGTTTTTACAAAAGCAAAGGAAACTCTCGACATGATTTTAACAAATTTTGACCGATAATTGGCATAGATTGCTTGGATGACTACAACAGATGGTTTGAGTCAACGTAAGTGCACTTTTCGTCCATTACACTGCCACATCCACATCAATCAACTCAAATGATAAATGGACATATTTCAAAGCGCATTTGTTCAAGAATGCGGCATGTTGGAATGATATATATTAAAACATGCTTAGTACACTCCGTGATGTATGGTGGAACTTGACACCATTCAGTCACTGACCATATGTAGACACATTTGTATACAACATGTTCACCTGACACAACCATGAGGTGTCAACACTCAGGACATAAATGTATAGTATTGAAGTGACACAAACAAAATCTAAAAAAAACCCAGCATCTTTGAGTGGAATGGGAACTCTTTAAACAAGTCAAACTGGAATACTGATAACTCGAAATCTCACAAAATTTAACAAATCCAACGAAAGATCTTTGTGGACTATCGGGAATGTTCAGATTACATTGCCAATCAACATACCCATGTGTAATGCCCCGAACTGCACAAATATACAGATGATATAAAAATATACTTTGTTCCCACAAAAATAGCTTTTATGGTTTCGAAATCAACATTTCATTTCTTTAAAGAGGTTAAATTTTCGTTAAACATGTAATGTGATGATTCCATGCAAGTAATCTGTCCTACTTCCGCTGATTATTGTTTGAAGATCTAGTACACCAGAGCACCATATGAATATCCCCTCCTTACCAGGTACTGAGTGAGGTATTCTCTTCACTAGAACAGTACTACTCCAAAAACTTCCAACAAGGGGCTCATCAAGTTAATACTACATTCAGTTGGAGCTAAAAGTTTACACAATATAATAACATCACCTACAGTGTATTATTTCACACAAATTAGATTCAATTCTAATTTGAACAGTATTTTAGTTATATTACGGCATGTCAGCTTAACGTGTGAAGAAAGTAAGTCCAAATTGATTCATATCATTACCGTTTACTTTGGTAAGCATTGACATGGTGCAGACACACCAGGGGTCATAATTAGGGTGAATCTGGGATTTGAACCCACGAGCAGGGAATGCTCAATGCAAAGGGATGCAACTCTGTAAATTGCCCCCACACAGAAAACATAACAGTTTTACCTTTCATTTGACATGAGATCATGTATTGTAGTCATAACTATCTTTGAATGATATAAGGGTGTGTAAAATGTCTTGATTACTGCAAGACAATACCACAGGAAATGAAAGATTCTTGTGCACATTTTATGTTGTGAAATAAACACAAGAAAAATTGACTACAGTTATGAATATCATATTTTACCCTGCTGTGTTAAATCTTCCCTTAACTCTCTTAGTAACCATCTTCTCAATAACCATCAAACTCTATTTTGGAGGATATGGTCCTGATGCAAGCTGATAGGTTTGCAGCACAGGTGTACACTGGGAGACTAGAAAAAGAACTGTAGCCAATACTTAATTTTATCTCTGCAACCATGGTTACAGAGGTTAACAATACACTCCTAATATCTCTTCACAAAAGAAAGTCCATCTTTAGCAAACATAAAAAAGGAAAGAAATCTTCACTCCTTTTTCTTCAAAGTGAATGCTGAAAACAGTCCAAGATGTGCGTAGGGAGCACATAGAGGACTGCTGGGCCTACAGGCACTGATCAGGCTAGCTTGCCCTATTTGCTATAGTATCTGCATAAATGCTTCATGCTGCCTGCTGCTTCAAAGAAAGGTCAACCAAACTGGTACTCTCAATAAATCCAAATTATTAGCTTATTGATAAAAAAAAACAATGTTATCGTCTTTCATTTATCAATGCGAAATTGTAATTTGATTAAAAAATAAACACATTTACCAATACTTCATAAAAGCTGTTTTTTGGCCATATACACCTCTCTTGGGCTCACAAGATAGCACTCACACTGATGTTTGATCTGTATCAAGAACACAACTGCCCTTTTTTTGTCAACACAATTAATATCAAGCCCGCAAAATCCAATGGTATGTCAGACCTCCACCCACTAAATCTGGGACTCAGTGGCGTTGTGGTTTAGAGGCATTGGGCTCTGTGTCACATCTGGTGTTTTGTTTTTGGAAGTGTATTGTCCAATAAATGATCCATCTTCGTTAAACTTGGTATCAAATTCACCTCCCTCGTACTCCATAAGTGACTCGTCATCATCCCCCATGTCCATGTCATCATTATAGTCAAAGTTGGGGTTCAGGCCGCCAGGCTTCTTATTGGGGAAGTCATCGTCACCACTGAAGAGAAAATGAATCATTCTTTTATTAATTCCTAAGCATGTACCTTTGTTTACTTCATGAGTTTTTTTCTTATTCTGCAGATATTGAAACTGATTAAAAAAGTTCCTTTTACAAAATTACAGAATACTATGACCAAACTGTAGTGAAACATTTCTCCAACTCATTTCACTTGAAACAGTATTGAAGATGCTACCAATATTGGCACAATGATCTCATATCAGCACTCTGCTTGTCTCAAAATGCAGATAACTGCAGATCCAAAACTGGTCTCCACAGGAGTTATCTCTTGGATGAGATCAAGCGATCTCTCCCAGGAGAAATTGCATCACAATGCTTTGCAGACCATTGTGATGTCATCGGTTACCATCATGTTACAATCAAATGACATCAATAGTCTCTCTCTCCTACTGAAGCTGGTCAGCAGTGCTTTTTACACTTAAGATACTGCTTATTACTGTTTACAAACAAAGAGTTGGAAGAATAATGTTGGATGATAAATAGAATCTCACCCTTGTGTCGTAGGTAGGACACTCGTCATAGATATCATTTATATCAACAGATATCAGTAGGTTGAGATCAAGCAATCTTGTACAAAGGGATCTTAGCGCAAAAGAGATCGTAACTCCCATACTTTAACATAGGCTTATGATCATTTAAGCCCTAAGGTTGTTTTGTACAACAGCACCCTGGGAGATATCGCTGCAATGACATTTGAAGGCCATGGCAATGAACTTTGCCTCTTAATTTTAAACTTTTATCGTGTGTGTGATATTAAAAGAAACTTGGGTCAGATTCTCTATGAACCTATTATTGTTTTATTAGAAAAAGGTTTCACCGTAGTTACCAAGCAAATTTGTCTATGGAACTGAGACATACATGAATATGGGTTCAAGTGGTCTTGTAATCATTATGGAGTAGTCTTCAAACCTTCTTGTAACCTGCTACAGTTATGAACAATTGATTTAAGTTGCATGAAGGAATATACACTGGAAAAAAGAAGTGACTTACGGGGCACGAGACAAGTCGTGGAAGCCGCTGTCAGCAAGTTCTTTCTCTGGGTCAATATCATTAGCTCTTTCTTTCTTGTCCACTAAAACAGAACAAATGTTACCATCAGATCACAGACACTTAAAAAAAAATATTAATGAGCATTTATTGGGCATATCACTAGTGAGTGAATGGAGGCTGGTTCCATTGCAGTCAACAATATGAAAGCTGAAGAATTTATACAGGGAGCAAAGGATACAATAGTATGAACATTTATCCACTACTAATCTGATCAACTGACAATAAAATGCAGAGACGAAATGGTCTCAGCCTTACTCCAATCCCTCTCACACCCATTACCCCTAAACTGACTGCCCTACAATGTCACACAATTACATCACAATCTCATAGAATATTATTGTCATACACATCTTAGAATGTAAGGAGTTGACCCCTAGAAAATATGGCCCAAAACATAACTTTACAGAGCTATATCATGACCCTGTAAATACATCTTAGCCAGGCAAACCAGTGGTTGACAGAATGAGCAATGATCTATGGTGAGTGAGTGAGTGAGTATAGTTTTACGCCGCTTTTAGCAATATTCCAGCAATATCACGGCGGGGGACACCAGAAATGGGCTTCACACATTGTACCCATGTCGGGAATCGAACCCGGGCCTTCGTCGTGACGAGCGAACGCTTTAACCACTAGGCTACCCGACCGCCCCGCAATGATCTATGCCTTTGGGGCACAATTACACACAATCATCCAGGACACAAACTGTAACACCTATCCCCATTTTGGGTTTGCTCACATATTCCCAAGGGAAGAATCTTGGACTCCTTCCTGCTGTTTGTGCAAAGACTGATAGTGATTTGGTATTGTGGAAGGTTTACTCACATGGGTAGGTACCCTCCTGTCGCTTCCTGTTACAGATGATGGTGATGAGGACGATGACGATGATAAGGATGATGAGTGCGACGATGAGGGCAATCCACCACAGATCCATGCCTGCAGCTACTGCTGGAGCAGGAACTGGAATACAAACACAGTATTAGAGTGCTTCAATAAATCCTGCATATAGACAGCACCATCAGGCCCTTTCTTGACAGTATCTATCTGACATCTTGAAATAATAACTTATACATACTAAACATATACCAAGGTTTAGCTCATCAGTTGTCTGCAAAATAATGGCTTAAGAATGACAACACAACTTAACAGCTAAAAACTTCAATTTTCAGTCACACTTATTTGTAGGATTAAGTATCTGAGACTACTTCAGAAAAAAGGCTCATGTAAATAAGTGTGAAATTTGTATATTCTGTAATCATAAAAAGCCGTAATTGAAATATCTTTTTTAACACATTGATGAAGTCATAACCTTTTAATCATGGCAAGTCTTGAAATCATTTGCACCCTAATATACTGTGTCTTGCAACTTAGATCAATGGTATGTGTCAATATCAAACCATGACAATATTCTTGTCTAGGGCAAATTAACCTCAGGATCCTGAAGTCACTTCTAAAGCATTAGCCATATTTATCTGACATCAAAAGAAACGATCATGTTTTTTAAAATTATTATTTTTAAAAAAGGGGAAATATGTTGCAAAATCCACACTTTTCTGTCTAAGAAACAGTTGGAATGAAAGACTAAGAAGAGAAAAGGACGAAACTTTGTGAATGTGAACAAATGTCACATGACATGTCAAGAATTTCCCTTAGAAATTGAAAGTGTGAATACTTAACAAGTCATCTATTTCTTTTCAATGAGTGTTAAGTGTTTGAATATATATTTTGAAATTGTTATTCCAGTATTAAATTCCCCCCTGCAACCACAAACCAGATATCTCCAATTCAACTGCTAAATTCTTGTTTATTACTTTGTTAATATTCCCTTGCCTTGTTAAAACAAAGTTTCCATGCACAAGTTTTAATAATTCATATATGGTTTAGCATTCACTAACAAGGCAACAAGGATCTGATGTCTAGCTTTGGAAATTTTAACAGGAAAGTGTTCATATTGATTTAGTGTGTTCTGTTTATACAGTTTTGGAACATACAAGTTGACAGCAAACTATTAAAAACCAGAGATTATTTAAATAAAGGACAAGGGTCTATCCTGTAAAACCATATCTATCCTAAAGCCATCCTTTGAAACTGTTCATTGGGAAAAGAATGCAATAACACGTGACCAATTCAGGACATGTTGCATACCATGAGAACGAAGTCTACAGTATAATACAAAATACTTTAGAGATTACTGGCCCCCTCATGCCTCTTAGCATCTTTTTCACTTGATGTTGGTGTTACTATATGGATTATTATTAGCTCTGCTGCTTCTACTTGACTCTGGACTAGTGGCTAACGTCAAAGACAGATATTTCATTCTGTTTTTTTCAAATCACAAGCATGGGATACTGAACTGTTTACTGTTTATCACAAATATTTCTAAGATGTACCCAATGGAAATCTTGGGGTCAGAATAAGGTCCCAGTATCCCATGCTTGTCTATAAAACATGACAAAAGACAATTTGACTCAGTGAAAGGTAGAAGTTTAGAATGTAACCTTAACGAAAGATAGATGCCAGTGAACGTCTACATATACACAGAAACTAGAAACCAAATTTTTAAATCATTGGCTGTGCTTTTAACTGAGATACTTGTGTACACATGATAGCAAAACTTAAGTCACTCACCATTATTTTCATAATTCAAGAAAAAAGATTTTGAATGAAAGGTTCAAACATGTTTAAAACATTGACCATGCATCATGCTTTCCCAATACAATATGCAATAGATTGCAATGAACATATCTTGAAGGTTCATTTCTCAGTGTTGATCATGCCTTGCAGAAACCAAGCACAAGACTGTATAGCTGGTATCAGCCTTTGATAAGGTCATCCCCAGGTACAACAGTTACAATCTGAGCTAAATTTTGGAGCATGTTGGCAGTTGTGGTTATTTTTACATATGATGGATGAACTGACATTTGTTTGGTAAAGTTGGGCTTCAAAGGAACTCAGTTGATAAGAGCTTTTAATCACTGACTAACTAAATGCAATTTGCTTGTGTCTTTGTGTATGCGTGTGCATGAGCATGTGTGTATGTCTTTGTGTGTATGTCTTTGTGTGCTGTTTGTGTGCATGTGTGTGTGCGTGTGTGTGCATGGTGTGTGTGTGCAAATGTGTGTGTGCAAATGTGTGTGAGTGTGTATCTGAGAGAAAGATATATGTATTACTTACCTATAACAGGAAGCTCTGTAACAATAACTTCAATGGCAACAGTGCTGCTGTCAAAGGCATGGTACAGGTCTCTGTAGTATGTTCCATTTATCTTGTCATATTCCTCATCACTCAGATCAGTTGTGTTGATGTACGCTGATTTTGATGTTTCATTGTATATAACATGTGGAGGAGGAGACATCTCATATGTGTTGTTGCCAAACCGCCATCGATACCTCAGAACAAAACCAGGATCCGTCTTGCCAGTCACAGTCAAATTGACAATATCGCCTTTCGTAATTTCTTGCTTGAGTTGAGGCTCTGACAGTATGACAATTGGTTCTGAAAAAAAAAGTACATTCAATTTCTCAGTATGACCAGCACAACAACTAAAACATCACCAGCACACCATATCCACCAGCTTAACTACAAGAAGTACTTATCGTCTAACATCAGCAAGTTAGCAGAACAACTTAATATTTGCTGTCACTCCCACAACACCATATCCATAAGCACAACAAGGGATGCAGGCTTTTTAGAAACAAAATCAGAGTGATCAGGTTATTCAAACCCACAATCATAGGTTTCTGGCAAGACTAAGGGATGCAACTCTGCATAGCACATTGCAGCACCTTGAGACAACTTGGACATCTGTGCCCTTTAAGAATGATGACGTATGTGTGCATACAAACACAAGAATAGTTTATGACGACAAATATTTCAGATGATGTTAAATACTTACCAATTACATTGAGGCAGGCATCACCAAATTCGTATCCAACGTTGTTACTAACATTACACTGGAAGCACATGATATCGGTTTCCTTGTTTAAATTCATCACTGTTAATACCTTTGCATTATCACTGAATTCAAACTTTACGCTATCTGAAAACAAGACAAAACAACAAAAGTTCATTAATGCAAATATCTTACAACCGTGACACATCCGCTCTCATATCTAAAGTATGTGACTGGGATAGATTAAGATATGATCATATGATGGATAGTGTTAAAGATGCAATAACCAATCTGATCATCTCAATCCAATGAATATGCAAATTAGGTAACCTAGCAGGAACTACATTATCACTATCCCTTGCCATGGGGCACATTAGAGTTTTGTTTGTTCATATAGTAGAGAAAATAAACTATTAAAAAAAGAGTCCTATAAGCCTTAAGAAGAGATTTGCAATTGGGTCACTTTATGTCATCAGAAGAAATTATCAAATGTGAAATTAATACACACAAAAACCCTTCTCTGGAAAAAATAATATGTGACACTAATTCTCAAACTCAGTCTTGATAAGTATCTCCTAGAAAAGCTAACTTCAGCAGTTTCTGAGAAAACTTGTCCCCATTATAGACACGAGGCACGTCGTAAATAACATGGATTAAGGGCCGTAAGTGTGTACGCTCAAAATCTAAAACATGCAGCAAGGGACGTAACTCTGGAAAAAAAGACTTTACCAATTTTCAAACACAGTCTTGAGTATGGCTCATTGAAAAAAAGGCTTATACTTGGCTCCTAAAATATTCATGTTAGGAACAACTTGGCCCCCTGGTCAAAAAACAAACTCAGATGGCTGTTGGAACCAACAATCAATGAAACTGCAGTGTTCCACATTAAACAGTCCTTTGAATCTTCTGAAACTTATAAACAGAGGTTAATAAAAAGGACCTCTTGACTTCCAAGCCTAATTTCGAACACTGACAATCAGAATTGGAATATATGGCACTGAACATGTGCCCATCATGTATAAACAACTCACTTTGAACTGGCATTGGGTTTCCATTTCTGAACCATACAGGAGGATTAAGTTCCGTTTCTCCAATTGCTGGTCTAGCCTTGCACGTAAAAACAGCATTCTTCTTTTCTGGGATAGTCTGGGAACTCAGTGCCTCAATCCAGATAGGGCCAGCTGAAAAAAGTAAGCATGATTTGACGCTGCTTTTAACAATCTTCAAGCAAAATCATGGCGGGAGCCACCAGAAATCAAACAATAGTTACCGTTATATATAATGCTGAGAATACTACCTCTATTACGCCATACATTCCTGTTTTTGCTGTAACCATGCTATTAAATCTTTAGATTTTTCAAAAGACTTAAGGTTGTCTGTTGAAAAATACAAAAATAATTGGCTAGATGGCATTATATCGGATACGTTCCGCCATTTTGGTAAGGGGAGTGTGCAATCTCATTAAATTCAGATCCTAGTTCTCACTATCGCTAAACAAAGATCTGAGGACATCCCATTTTCTCATCATGCAACCTCGAAAAAATTAACAGAGGGTATCATAGCTGTCAACCCCTGGATGTCTAAATGAATGAGAAGCCAGGGTTCAGGGTCTGCAAGCCCTGCTGGGTCCAGGGCTAAGCCCCCACTGGCAAAAACTGGTTTACAAGGATTTTTAAGACCATTTTAATGGCCTTAGAGAGCACGTATTCTGAAAATTTTTATTTTTGTCTACATTTTATATGAATGCGTGAGAATTTCCCAACCTTGCGTGTGAGCGTGACATAAGTGATAAATGCTTGAGAGTGACGCGAGATGCGTGAGAGTTGACAGGTATGGGGTATTCCGAACGACAGTTGCGTTTTTTTATTTTATCCATTCAATCTAGGCCATCTATAAGCCATTCCAGAATGTTCTTTTTATCAGTTTTAATTTTTTATATCGAGAATACAGCAAAATATGTTTCGAAGCGCAGTCGTCAGTTTGAAACTTGTGTCGCAAAGCTCGAAAAAGGTGCCTTCTGATTGGCTGATGTCGATTGCTTGTCAGTCATTTCATTGGTCGGTCAAAGTTCGTGAAAGGTCGTTCTGACGTGACCCGTTATGGGATGTCCTCAGATCTTTGTTTAGCGGTACCGAAAACTAAGATCTGATTTTAATAAGATTGGGGGAGTGTGTGAGCTCCTTGCTTGAGGTTTTGAAATTTTTCAGATTCAATTTTTAGCTGTCTCGCTAAATTAACAAGGGGCTTGGTGGGGGGGTGTCCGAAGTAGACTGTGGATTAGTGGGCTTCAACTTATGGAGTCTACCACAGCCCCTCAAATCAACTTCTTCTTCTTCTTCTTCTTCTTCTTCTTCTTATTATTATTATTATTATTATTATTATTATTATTATTATTATTATTATTATTATTATATACAACAGGTATCCAGGTACTAGTATCTGCTCAAATGCGGTTTTATTTGTTCCACGACCAGTGGATACGTTCGCATTCCAGTTATCATTCTCAACTACCTGGGGAGTATACAACCCAAGCTGCCTCACATACCGGGTACCCATTGGCTGCTGGGTGAACAGAGGCACATTTGAACTAAGCCACTTGCCCAGGGTGACACCAAAAGTTTTGACACTTGTGTTTCGGGTGTATGTACGAATTTGTGTTTTGACCATCTTGTCATCTACCATGGATGGGAACAGTAAACAGAATAACTCTGGATTGGATAGAGTAACCACTAGCATGTCAACTGCAACAAGGATCAAGTCAAACAACAGTACTTGGGATGAGATAACAAGGTTATCAATATGCCCTAAACTTCAAAATAAGAGTGGGTGAATGTTGGTTTATGCCACATTGAGCAATCATTTTCATATCCCATCTATATCACAACATTCTGTAAATAATCAACTCAGAGCTAGGCACACTGCCCATAAGAAGATATGTCAATATATCTTATGTTTTCTATGCTTGAGCAGTGTTTACAGCTTGGGTGTATATTACAAGACTCTCACTGTTACAAAACCAGTTTACTTTGGCTGGGATAAAGGGTAGGTAGCGATTGGGGATGCTGGACGGGACGTAAGCAAATCTTAGGGAGTCCTGACATTGACACTAAGTTAACTCTTCACTTACAAGTAACGTCCAGAAAGATGGATGTTTCGCCGCTTCCAACACTGTTAGATCCTTTACATGTGTACATGCCTTCATCCTCCTCAACCAGGTTCTTAATCACTAGCTTGCGATTATCGGAGTCAGCCACAAATTCAAACTTGTCATTTTCGGTAATTAGATTATTAGATTTGTCACTCCATGTGACACTTGGCAGTGGGCTGAAAGTAAATTGTTTAAACACAAATGAAATGACAGAACTTTCAAGATATTCAGCAACAATCTGCAACATCTATATAGTTGCTCCTATAAAGGCCAGGTTTTCTTAAAATTGTGAAACAAAACAAAACAAGAGTCATCCGAAGATGACATATCCCCCCGATGTGGCATGTTGGTAAACTGTGTGTACCTTCAAAATGTATTTAGATTAGCAGGGAAATCTGGCCAAAACCAGAAATATAATGAAGGTTATTAAATATTGGTTCAAGTAGCTCACTTTCTGATGATCTCATGAAATTGTAATAACAATAACATCGCAGATTCGCATATGAATAGCGCTGTAGTAGCCTCATGACACAAAGGCATAAAGAGAATGTACTAGGTTATGTAGCTCACATCATATATAGCATATGATATCAGTAAATAGTACACCTTAGAATTATATGTCAGGGGCTACAAATTAAAAAGATTAAAATCTATAAATAACAAAGTGCACTACTAGTGAAAATGATTGATATGTGCATAAAGTTTGGTGAATCTCTGTCGCATGGTTTAGAAGCTATGCTCCAGACGAGGACATTACCCTAAGTTCATCAATTTTCAATTTAAATTGAAAAAAGAAAAAAAAAAGAAAAAATCTGTTAGCAAAGGCACCACCACATAACCTACTTGATAGGCGTAAAACCTCTTGCGAAGCTAGGTTGTACGGTTTAGAAAATATACTCTGGACAAATTTCCTAAGTTCATCATATTTCCATGGAAACGACAAAAATAAAATATTCTAAAAATCTCTAAATAGCAAAAGGCACTACTACTGAGCCTGATTGGTAAGTGTACCAAGTTTTGTGAAGCTAGGTTGTACGGTTTAGGAAATATGCTCCGGACAAGAGCACTACCTTCAAATTTCCTAAGTTCATCATATTTCCATGGAAATGACAAAAATAAAAAATTCTAAAAATCTCTAAATAGCAAAAGGCACTACTACTGAGCCTGATTGGTAAGTGTACCAAGTTTTGGGAAGCTAGGTTGTACAGTTTAGGAAATATGATCCGGACAAACAATGATTACAGACGGACAGAGGGACAGACAGACAGACGGACATACTGATGGCTATATCACCCCATCATTATGTGTCGGGGGGGATAAAAATAAAAGGCAGTGTTTTTATTCCATTAACAAGAAATAAGTAAAATGTTAAAAAAATGGAATCATTTACTGTCATTATCAATATAAACTAATTATTCAAATACCATAAATAAGACCTGTTTAAAATATAACTTAAAAACTCCCACCCCCTTTTCTTAGTTTCATACCAACATAACATTAAGGAAATAAAAAAATACATATGAAATTGGAAGAACTATTTACTGTTTTTTAACCTACAGACCTGGATTGTTTTGCAAAAATAAATGTATGTGGAAAGTACAAAGTGATGCAGGTCTGGACATCATAATACACAAGAAGAATGTCAACAATGCACATACTTGCCACTGAAGACACATTCAAGTTCAGCATCTTGTGTTCTCAGAAATTTGGCAGGATTTGTGTGGAACTGCGATGTCGCTTTCACCTGTGGAACAGCTAAAACAAGAGAAAACAAGAACATGACATTATGATTATCTACAACAGCAGCTTGATATAGATAATCACACAACAGGCTGAAACACTGTTCATTGAGTTTGGCCCTCACTATATGAAGGTTCATACTTCAATGAACTCAAGGATTAATTGAATGTCCCATCTGTCTACTGGAAAAATCTATGGTAAACTTTTCTAGCTTTGCATGTTGTTCGATTAAAAATGATGTTTGTATCTATTGACATGACTGTATATCAGGTATATGCTTGCCATTCCGCAAGTTCTATTTGTAAAACTTTGCCAAAAAACATGCACAGATGTTTACTTAAGAAATGATTTTCATATTGTGTTTGTTTATATGAACGCCTTGAACAGTGCAAGTTAAAATCATGTAAACGCTGGAACTTGCAATATCAATAGCATGGGTTATATCATCAACTTTTTCACCTTGATTGTGTGTGTTTGTTACTAAACACCACATTCAGCAATATTCCAGCTATATGACAGCGGTCTGTAAAAAATCCAGCCCCGAACCATACGATCCGGTCATTGATATTGTGAACAACCATCCACGACATTGGATTACGATGACAGACAATCAACCAAGTCACGGAGCCTGATCACTCGATCAATTTGGCCACCTGTTACGAGAGGTTGCTGGGGATCTATTCTGACCCAAAATCCTCGCAGGGACTTTCAGCATGAAATCTGGTGGTTGAAACACTCACGATTGGAAGGAGTCACTTCTAATTGCTTCTCACTACCAAGCTTGATAATATCCATTCTGCTGTTAAACATGCCACACTTGTAACTCTGGTCATCTATCTTGTCTTCTTTCAACACATACATAAAATGCAGGGAACCTTAAACAAATAAAAAATAAGCATTATCACAAGTCATAACTAATCTGCAATATTTTAAATTGAAAAAGCTTTGCACAATTCTGAAGCTATACACTGATACATCACAAAACATTGTTCTCTGAGATCTAAACTATTTTCATATATTTAATTTTTTTCATTGTTATATCTCTTATATAACAGGGTTCTGACATTGTGCACATACACTTCCCCTGAAATGTATGTTTATTTGTTTGTTTGTTGTTTAACGCCGCACTCAGCAATATTCAAGCTATATGTTGGTCTGCAAATAACTGAGACTGACCAAGACAATCCAGTAACTGACATCATGAGCATCGATGTATGATACGATCAATGATGATACACATCAACCAAGTCAGTGAGCCTGACCACCCAATCCTAAGCATGGACTGCTGAAGTTCAATATTAAGCCAGGATCTTCATGGGTCCATTCCCCTGAGAGGTTAGGAACATGTAAAGAGGCCACATACCTTTGTCATCGGTGTATATCCGACCAGAATTTTTCACATCTCCCTTAGTGTCATCTCCAGACACATGGTACCAGGTATATTGAGCTTTTGGAACAGATTCGGGCTGATTATCACACGTAAGCTTCAGGTAACTGCCCTCTGTGACAGGCACATTCTTAAAAGCACTGTCTGGCCACTGATTTTCCATCACTGAAAACCAAAAATGGGAATAGTATTTAGTAATATCACGGTGTGTCAGTGTCAAGGTAACTCAATGAGGCCACATTTATCTATTTGCATCAGACATATTGTCAGGTTCCATAGAAAATTATCAATGCGAGAATGATAAGGCATATACAAAAGAATTGAGACCAATGTAGCAGAATAACTGTATATATATGAACATATGAGTTATGCTCAAGAAACAAAATGGGACAGAAAGACAGGAAGATCTGTAGTGAACTATCTCCTGATAAATTATATCTTACTTTTCAGTGAATAGAGATAAATGGAAGTCTATTTTGTCTGTGTTTATCAGGTAAGAAATTCTAAGAATACAAAATATTTTTCTGTTCCCTTGAACTGCAAGCTGACAAATGAAAGTTTTGCATTAACATCAAAGAATAAAAATTCATTGTGAACTAGTGGTGGATATTGGCCTGACTTTTGTATTGCAATTTATTGCAATGATTCATGTATTGCAATATGTGTCACAATAGATTGCAAGTGTTTTTGCATCTGTAATTTGTTATGAACCTAAAAATATTAATAATAACCCAAATGACTTGAAGCTATTTTGGGGGGACCCATACAACAGACACCCCCCCCCCCCCCCCCCCACCCCCGATCACATACTTTGTGTACCCCTCTAACAAGTCTAAATCGGCATGGCTCCTGTGTCCGAAGGCCATGAATACACAATGCACAATGCGATTTAGTGTGGGTTCGAATCCTGGATGGGACGCAATCCAAAAAGTAATAGAATCTGTACTTTATGAAGAAAGTGTTATCCCAAATATAATATTTGTCACATTTGACCACTTTCTAAATGGCATTGTGTGTTCATCTTCATTAGTGTTTCAAATCATGGTATACCAATAATACTGCGCACCTCTATTGTAAACACTTACTGATTAAACGCAGTGTAATGACTGGAGACATAGCAGCTACAATTGTGGAAGGGGCTGCCTCATTCTCAGCAAAACACTGGTAACGTCCTTCCTCTCGCTCTGTGAAACCAGTTATAGTCAAGGTTCCAGTGACTGGATCTGAAGTATAAGCTACTCCCTCTGCAGGCTTACCATCGAACTCCCAGCGGTATCTGCAATTGAAGTTTGAATATACTTGAGTCAACATTCTTGTTTGCATTACCTATAAAAGTAGAATACTCTAGTTAGCTGAGAAAACCCTTCAGCTTGTGAACTATTAACTCATACTCAACAAATGAAACAGTTGTTTATGGGCAATGAAAATATTTGCAACATGAGATAAGAACAATTTAAAGGAATTGTGACATCTCTCATCATGCTACTTTCTGATTGGTGTTTTACAAATTGGTGACAGGCCAATCAGCATTATCAGATATTTACATTTCAATATCATAAACAATACATTTGCATTCATGTTTTTTTCTCAAATCATAATATCAGACTTCTTCTCGAGCTTTAATGACCCAAACACTACTGAATCTGTAAAAGTACTGTAATACATATCATAAGAGTCCTTTGAAATTACATCGGAGGATACAATTTCCATTGTTCCAAAACCTACCTTGGTTTGGGCTCCCCTTCAGCCTCGCAGTATAAATTAAAGGGTGAGTCATCCTGGCCAAGATCAAAACTCTGTGGTGCCTCTGGTTTTATAATTTTTGGTGGTTTATCTGGAACAACAATGTTTACTGTTTGATTTGCAGTGAAAGCTGTGTTGTCAGCAATAGCTGTTCAAACATCTTTGACATACCATATTACCATTTACCAATGACATATATTCAGGGGTAACCGGAGACATGTGCCATACATTATACACATTCAGAGTCCTCATGCTACATGTATTAAATGATTGCTGTCTGCAAATAAAACTAACATTTATGTATTTTAGCATTCACAAATTTTTAAGTAGGAATAAATATGACAATAACTCATTAATTAATAACATTATACTATACTGCTCAAGAGAACTTACAAATCACCCAATTCCTTCATAATAATATGGTTTATTTGTTATGGCATGAAAGATTAATTTTAGCAATATGGAAGAATCAGGTAGTCCTTAACTTCTTTTGAGTAGTATATAAAGCAAATAAGTGAGGTCCATTTGGTAATGTCACCAGGGTCCAACATACATACATTATTCTAGTAGGACCAGAGCCACATGAAATATGGAGACTGGCATTTCAAATTTCCTCAAGCAACTTGAACCATGTTGATTCTAAAATTACTGGTCCTGATCAATGTTGTGTGATATTTGTGCAGCAAACATCCATAATTGTCAAACCCTGTGTTATGTGTGCATAACTGCTGGCATGGCTGTTTCACATGTAAGTATACGTGTTAGATAGAACTGTCAACAGTCAGCATTAAAATTTCTAGAAATGCCTTTTAAGATTAAAGCTCAAATAACTTTAAAGTTAAATTCTGTTTACATTAACCTAAAAAATAAACCAGATGTCAAAAATTTATATCATCTTTGCAACTGCAACGTATATGTAACCTATACAAAAATGCAACAAAAATAAACAACTTAAAAAACCCTAAAAACATCACATATCAAACCTGCATCAAAAGACTTACTTTGAGATTGAGCACTATGTAACACTGCAATCAGCAACAAAGGGCAGATGCATGCCCTTGTTAAGGCCATGTTAGATGGTTTCCTCGGGAGACTTTCCAGGTATCTCAACCGCTATGTGCTCCAACAGCAAGCTAGTTTATCTGCAACAAACAAGGAGTGAACCATGTAGCAGAGTTACAGTGCATGCAGTCCATCACAAGTAAAACAGACATCAACAAAACAGTTCACGAGGACCACGCTGTTCAATCTGGAGCAGGAATGTTCAGCAGTGACCATGCATAACTACTCAGTTTCAACTACATATGAAATATTTTTTACAGGTCACATGAATCACGTGCTGTAGAAAAGGCTTCAAATGATGATACAACAATAATGCAGTACATATTGGCTGCAGGATTTGGACATATTAATGCCATACCAAGAAGTTAGTGTTTTACATCAATGATTTAATTGTGTGCTATCTTCAAGTCTTGTGCATAAGCAATCCATGAGAATTTATCATATAAAATACTTGCAGTAGTGGTCTGTCTCTCAGACCATAGAGAATATAGTAAACAAGAAAACAGTGTTATCACTATCCCCTGCTATGTGTCAGTAGTTTCAAATTAAATAATGGATAGGGTTAGGGTTTGAAAAATTCATAAAAAATGGAAAATTAATAAAAACTTTTTTTCTTTCTTTTGACTGCACCCCTCCATATGACACAGATTATATGTACTAAGTTTGAGATGAATCCACTGAATAGTTTAAGAGAAATCGTGCGGACAAAGTTATCGGATGGACGGACAGATGGACAGACGGAACCTTGGTATAACTATATACCCCCGACCTAAAAGGTCGGGGGTATAAAAATGATTAAATGTGAAATTAATACACAGCATAAGCATTATATATAATTTGAACAAGAAATGTACTTGTGGCCATCTTGTGTGGTTTTTGTAACCATCTTGTTGTGGCAATTCTAGTGTAAAAACTGATCAAGGTTCATGTTAATGTATGGAGTTGGCTGTGTTAGCAGTAAGTTTGGGAGAGAAGTGGTTCCATGTACACCCGGGCCAACTTGACAAAGCAATTGTAGCACTATTGAAACTCCCCTACTTTAACAGACTCAAAACAGTTGTAGCGCTCAGAACACTGTAGGGCTTGGTCCCGGGACAGAGGACTGGGATGTACTATGGTAGTAAATGGATAATTGTTGCTTGGAAACTATTTACTGATAGGTGAATTATGGGATAACTTTTACTTTGCTATATTCAATATAAGCTTCTCGGTCCCCCTACAAAGTTCATAGTTGTATTGTAATGGTGTCGGATACTAAATTAGCAGGACTTAGCATGCACTAAATGTCAGCGTTTTCACAGGCAGTGTGTACAATCAATAGATGGGAAATTTAAGGGGCGCTTCACTACAGAAACAAGCACAATCATACCTGGTTAATACTTAAGAAAACTAAACATCAAAAATATTTCCCAAGAATGAAAATGTAGAAAAATTATATCTGCAAATTCTAAAAAATTATAAGGGGTGTCTTGGGGTCCTTGAGGTCTGGTCCTATCATGCCAGCAGTATTTGATCTGGAGACCCCTTCAATATGTTAACATTAGGGTGTAATATGACAAGGACTCCTTGGCTTTACTACACTGTTTGGAACACTGTATATACATAAGAAATGTAGTGTAAAAATTGTATCTGACATGAAGACCATATTCCAGTCCATAAAACCAAGTTATTTTTATATCTTTGAAGGCAGAAAAAACCTGCATGCCCATGAAAGCCTTCTGCCCAATGCACCTGGATCCACTTGCACAAAGCAACCTTAGCGCTACGACAATCATAACTCTCATATTTTAACATAGTCTTACAAGGGTAGCACTAAGATTGCTTTATGCAAGTGGACCCTGGATGAGTAGAAATTTCTGAATGTCAACAGTGCTTAATACCTGTACCTATTCACTCTTCATTTTATATGCTTTAATCAGCTAAACTATTTCTCTCACTGAACAAATTTATGTTATTTAATCCATAATCTCATCTTTTCTGTGAGACCCCTATGAACATGATGGTGTAAAAGGAAACTGGTCTGTCTAGTTAGTCTCACACTAATACAAGTGGCTGTGTAGCCCTGGCATTTGTGTCTACACAAGTGAGTTCACACTCGAGGATCACTATCATGCAAGAATTTATCACTTATTATAACTCCTGAACAATTTAATAGACTTGCAATACTCAATTCACAATATGACTTTCTTCTCAGAAACAAATAAGGGAAAAAGGTGCCAAAAATTCTCCCTATGTCCCAACAATCTAAAAGCCTTCATTCTCAATATCAATACGGGTTGAAAAACAACCTTCTTAACAAATGACTAAACAAATGTAAAAGAGTCTTTTGTGAACAATTGGGTGGTGGTGTCCTTTCTAAATACTGCACATACAAAATGTGCCCACCGATCAATACTGTGTCCACAGTCTAGTCCACTGGGGCCTTATTACAGTAGCCTGTGTCGGCCTGGCAGATCTTTCAGCCCTTCTCAGAGCCCACTATGCACACTTCCCTAAATGTGTCAATCTTGGCAACATCTTCCTACTACGACCTCTACAAATACTACTTGGCTGAAGACTCAAAGCTGAAGTACTGAGTTTCAGAACACTAACAACATACTGAAGAAATACTAGTATAAGTTTGTACATTTCACCAAACAACCAGAGCTCCAGATAACTTTTTGAGCAATTGAGTTTTTACTCGAAAGTTTCTTTTTTAATTGAGTTATTACATTTTTCATGGGTAACTAATATTTTTTCACTCATCTGTTCATCACTCTATTGGGTTTTCCCAAAATGAGTAAGCATTTAGAGATTTAAAAAAAAATGAAATAATGTTTTAGATGTATATGACGGTTCTAAATATAGCTGACTCAGAAAGTAAATTAGCTCGTAATTGTGTGTCGGATATTAGCTCTTTTGTATGCATGTTGAAAAAGCTTCATTGGGTATTTACGCAGGCTGTTTTCAAACAATTGCTTTTTTCATTTATAGCATGTGTTTCTGTAAGCAAGTTAATTGAAAGTAATTGGGTTTTGAATAGTTTTGGGGGGTATTTTACGCAAATACACAGCTTATCTGTAGCTCTGACAACATAGAAATATAGAAATCTTTTGAAAACTATCATTTAATCATACATAAGCATGACCATGGGTGAAGAAAATGAGTCATATCATCAGGGATACATCTTAGTATCAGTTTTCAGGTATCTCATTAACCAGATGTCCTATAGTCATGACAATTAAAAACTTTAACAGCAAAATTCAACAAAATAGATACAAACAAGGACAAGTAATTATAACTGATAATTGATCGGTTGAAACAAACCAGTCATGACTAATGATCAAGGAGTAGTCCCAACAACTCCCAACATTAACTAACAGTGAATTCCTAACAAAGAGCATTCAGTTGCTGAGTGAGGACTGGTGCAGGTGTGGTTCATCAGTCACTGGCGTCAGCAGGAAGCACAGGCTGTCCTGCTCCACACAACTCTCAGGTAAAACTAATACTCCCACAACACTCAGATGACAGGTCAAACGCTGCGCTTGGAGTAAGGCAGACAACATTTCCTGTTCTTGACTATGGCCCATCCTAGCATTTTCTCTATATCAGCTATGTGTTAGCCTGATCTGTTATTCAAATATTCTGTGATAATTTGACGATGACAAACTAATAATGATAACGCATACACTGAAAAAAGCAGTCTGACTCAAATAAGAACTTCTGCAAATACGAAACAAATATTCAAATATTCAAATACAAAACACAAAAATAAAAATATTTCCTGTTGATAAAGCTAAATACAGGGTAAATAATACCCCAGGCTGCCATCAGGACCTACACACGTCAGAAGATGCAGGCCCTGACTAAGCTCTTCAAGCCCTCATTTAAAAAACAAATAAATAGACACATAAATTTACTGCAGTCCATAAGGACCCATACAGTTGTGAAACTATGGGCACGACGCCAGATCTACCTACCACGTTCTTTCAGGCAGGCCCTTATTTCAAACACTTCTAACAAAATCATGAACAAATTAATGATGATTACCTTGAAGATATAGTAAACTCCTCACTTGAATAACAACATACACCAGAACTGAAACATCCTTGCAACCACTTAAACCTGCATCTTGCATCACTATGTCATCTGCCTGCATCTGTGCAATCCTGATGCCAGCGTCCCTCCACAAAAATAGCTCTAGATTAATTAGCCAATTTCCATGACACACTCTTCCTAATACACATGCAACTAAATAATTTCCAACTTTGTCAAACTTTCCTCCTCTATCACTGAAATCTGGTCAACTGATAATTGTGTTGCCATGGAAATTGAAATGCGCCAATCACAATTGTTACGAGACGTGCCTTGCACAGCTGTTAATGAGCTGGGTAAGAACAATGGAAATCCAAGACACTGTAACAAATGTTAACGATGACAACCCATTGTCTCACTGAGTTATGGGAAAATGGTCAGTGACAATTCCTTTGCAAAGCACCAAGTTCATGTGATATCATATCAATTTTCTTGACAGGTATATTGAAAACTGATTACTTGCCTGGGAAAATTTACAACAATTCAAAGAAATTAATTCCTTGTTTCTGTTTATAAGAAATACCATGTCTTGGCCAAAAATAAAAATACACCAACTAATTAGAGAAAAGAAGAAAACATAAATTTTAGTTATTGTAGTGTTTTTTGGGTAATCAGAAGTCCAGATAAATTGAGTATTTGCATAAATTAGGCAAAATAAAACAACATTTTCCAATCATATAGCACAAATTCAGCATCATGCTTATTGTAAAGTAGACATTTCACTAATAATGTCAGCTTGTTCCACAAATGAGACACTTTGCGATGTAAATTAGAAGCAATTTAAAACAGCATTTTAACAGTTATTGTTAGAAAAGCTCTAGTTATTGGTTCCAGAATATCCATTAAACTGGACCAAAGGGATTAAAACTTATTGAATAAGCAAGTTAACGTCTTCATAATTTTCCATGTGTTTTGTCATGGTTACTTCTGCGAAAGTACATTTATCCTTGGCTTCATGTAACAACCACTGTCACATGGTACTGTTGTTAACAAAATACTATTTATA